TGATGGAGAGATTAGTTCAAAATAATGTACAACTGAATAAGTCAAAGTGTAAATTCAGAGTGAAGTCTATCAAGTTTCTGGGAGAAATACTCACAGCTGAAGGAGTCAAGCCAGATACTCGGAAGATAGAGGCAATAATCAACATGAAAGAACCAGAGTGTAAAACTGATCTGAAACGAATAATGGGAACAGTTAATTTCCTAGGGAAATTCCTGCCTAATCTATCTCATAAAACAACACATATGAGGAATCTACTTAAATCAGATGTTGATTGGAAATGGACCAGTGAACATAACAGAGAATTCCATGAAATTAAAAGAATGTTAACCACTGAACCAGTCCTAGCATATTTTGATCCTAAACTAGACACAAAAATCTCAACTGATGCCAGTAAAAGCTCTATTGGTTGTGCCTTATGGCAGAATCACAATGGAAATTGGAAGCCAGTCAGCTATGCATATCAAAGCCTGACTGAAACTCAGCAAAGGTGGGCCCAGATTGAGAAGGAGTGTTACGGACTTGTAGTTGGATGTCAGAAATTCCATGATTACATAATGGGTTCCAAAATAACACTGAGAACTGACCATAAGCCATTAATTAACATAAGTCAAAAGAACATTAATGACATGACACCTAGAATTCAAAGACTCATGTTAAAGCTTCAACGCTATGATTATATCATTGAATATGTACCAGGCAAGGAACTTTATATTGCAGATACACTCAGCAGAGCCAAAATGATGTCTAATATGAACACTATTGACACTTCAATTGATGATGAAGTTAATATCTCAGTAAATAATGTTGTCAAATCATTACCCTACTCTGATGTGAAATTGAGAGAAATTGCCATGGAAACTGCTAAGGATCCATATTTACCCACAATCATGAACTATGTATTAAATGGATGGCCTACAAATAAGTGCCCAGAGAGAAAGTTCTTTCAAATGAGAGATGAACTTACAGTTGTTAATGGACTTCTACTCAGAAACAAGTGTATTGTAATACCAAAATCCATGAGATTTGAAATGTTAAGTCGTTTACATGAAGGACATTTAGGTATTGAAAAATGTAGACGCATGGCCAGAGAAACATTTTATTGGCCAAACATTAGCCAGGACATAACTGATATGGTCAACCGATGTGAAACATGCCAGACATTTAGATATAAGCAGCAGAAGCAGCCAATGGTCACAGGTGATAATACCACAACTCCTTGGGAGAAAGTAGCTGGAGATATATTCCATTTGTATGGAAAGAACTATCTTGTTATCATAGACTATTTCTCAAATTATCCAGAAATGGCCTTACTGAATTCAATGACCAGCAATACAATTATCACACACACTAAATCCATGTTTGCTAGACATGGGATTCCAAGTACAATGAGAGCTGACAATGGTAGTCCATTCTCAAGTTCAACATTCGAGAAGTTTGCCAAAGATTATGAATTCAACTTGACATTTTCGAGTCCTTACCATAGTCAGGGCAATGGTAAAGCTGAGAATGGAGTGAAGATCATCAAAACACTACTTAAGAAAGCTATAAAAGATGGCAAAGATCCTTATCTAGCGCTCCTAGCATATAGGACAACCCCTCTTGAATGTGGTAAATCTCCTGCAGAGTTATTGATGGGTAGAAAGCTAAAAACAAAATTACCAAGTTGTGAAAGTCTACCTGAGAATGAAACTGTAAAGAAAAAACTAGAACTTAAAACAAAACAGAAAAAGAATTATGATAAAACAGCCAAAGTATTGCCGAACTTAGACATAGGTGATACTGTAAGAGTTAAAATCAGAAGTAAATCATGGGACACAAAAGCTAAAGTACTAAGTAAGGAAACAGCAAGGTCTTACAAGATTAAGACTGAGACAGGTGTTATATACAGGAGAGACAGAGTGGATCTTCTTAAAACCTCAGAGACTTTTAACATCAAACCATATTCACCAGAAGATGATCCATATATGCAAGAATATTTAGATGCTATGCCTTCTGTCAATGCTCCTTCCCAAGTAAATGCCCCAGTCCAGCCTATGCTCCTAAGTTCAAGTCCAAAGTCCCATAGTTCAAAGCCCCAAGTTAACCCTAATGCTCCTAGTCAACCAATCTCCCAGCCAGTTATTAGGAGATCTAGCAGGATATCAAAGCCACCTGATAGGTTCATTGAAAAGTTCTGAAATTGCATGTATTTTAAAAGTCAATAGACTTTATGATAGACTATGTATACATACATGTAGTATATTTTTTTTGTGTTAACTTTGCTTTGTTGCATTCAAGGTCTAATTAGACTTGAGTATAGACACTTTATCTAGTAAAAAAAAAAAAAAGACAGGTATCCATCATAACATTGAATCTGACATTGAGATAAACTCAGATGGATAAGCACATTTTTGTGTAATTAAGTTCTATACATGTTCTATAAAGTACACAAAAGAGACTTATTGTGTAAAGAGACTTTATTTGTTTTCATACATTGCTGTACAAGGCTTACAGATAATACTTTACATTTTATTTACTTGGCTGATTAATAGGCTAGTGCTTATATATCACATTGTCATTTTCACTATAACATGTTTGGCTTTCACTTGTTTTTTTTTAAAGAAAGGAGGGTGTAACAATATGTATAACTGTATCATACACTATGATTGTGATTGTGATATTGTGTTTTGTCACAACCGGAAGTTCCGGAAGTTGTCATAATAAAAACGGCATTGTGGGATACTTCAAGCCTCATGCTTTTATGTCTGATATATTTGTCCAACTATTACACACATGTACAATAATTTTTTTATATTTAAAAATATCATAAAGCTAAGTCATATTTTCTTGATTAAATATACCATTTTTTCATAGAAAAATCTAACTAATGATTTTATGAAGACAGTTCTGAATATCATGGAATAAAAAGCTAATTTACTGGTCGGGATTAAATATGGGTTTATTCCTCATGACAATTTGATATTTCACATATTGTGAGGGACAATTTGGTATTTCCCCCTGACCCTCCGGGCTCTCGGTAAATATCATATTGTCCATCATAATAAAACCCATATTGAATCCCTCCCACTACATAACCTATATATATCTTGCGAAAATCTAGATCTGTCACTGGAAGGCAGCCCATCTTGAAAACAAGACACGGTGTCTTTGTAATTAGTCCGACTGATATAGCCTACCTAGAGAAAACCGCCGATACCTCAGCAACAATGTTCGAAACAGTAGGTTGGGATACCCCGAATATATCTCCATTTATCATTTGCATACAACCTGTAGCATAAAATCACAAAACCAAGGTAGCTTAATCGTGCACTTTCAGACTTGATTTGGTTATTTGTGTCTCTAATGTTTTTCAACCTATTTTTAGTTGGATGTCTCAAAGGGCACTTCCTAGATTTCTACAACGATAATGTTAATTTAAATAGGAAAACTATCAAGATTCTTGATGATAAGTTTGCGATTTATATTGCGGCAGGGTCAGGGATGCCGCAAATAAAGTGGAGTTTGCGACATAAAAATCAACTGCTTTACGTGGACGCAACTGTGCGATGACTGCATAATACCAATTTGCGTGCGGTTAGCAGTGTATTTGCGATGCGAAATGAAAATAGCGATGCGTCTACCGTGTAATAAGAAAACTGCGATTTGCGCTAAAGACGCAAAACGGCAATGAATTTGCGCTAGAGTGCCTTTGAGATGACCTCATAATATCGTTTTGCGTACGATTCGCTAAATATTTACGTTGCGATTGCGATTTGCGGTGCGTCGACCGGATAATGAGGCCTCAGGCTCGTAGCCAGGATTTGCCAAGGGGGGGTTCAGTTTTCAAAAATTTCCAGGGGGGGTTCACATTAGACAATTTTGGCCCAAATATGGCTAAAATCACTTGAAAAGTGCTCAAAATGGTGAAAAACTGCATGATTTTGAAAGAACCCTGCGAACCCCCCTGGCTACGGGCCTGTAGACCTTTATGTACAATGGTGCATCCCTAAAAAATTCCCAAAAATGGTGAGATATTGTGAGATATGCACATCTACCTTCGGTCCCTATGATCCCTTAGGTAGATATGCATATATCCTTCTGGATAAACACCATATCCAAAACCTCCCAGTATATAATACCCTTATGTTCGTCATTCAAATTTTGAAATAGTTTTGCTTATCTATTTCTGAGAGAATATATATTTCTCAAACAGAAGTTCACTTTTTTGGGGACACCACATAAATCATGAGCAATACCTCACTAAGAGTCTTGTTATTCTTTACCTTTCTGCTTTTGAAGTTATCCTGCATTGATAAGAGGCCAAAATATTAATATTTTGTCATAGGGAATGTGTCTGTTCAAATCCATATATTTTTCACATCATGAATTTCTCAGGTTAACACATACCAAGTTCTAAGATTTCCCAATTGGGTAACTCATCGTCCGTACTAAGTGTTTCGTTCAGTGCTAAATGCTAGACCCTACATGTATGTAGAAAAGTAAAGTGACAATTTTGCAAAATTTTGGTAAGTTTTCATACTCGAATCGTAATACAGACCTCAGATCAGGTATACATATCAAGTAATAAATACCTTAGGGGCACAAAAGCTTCCAAACCCCTCACCTCCTTCGGTAATTCGGGGTACAGAAAAGATTTTTGCCTAGCCCTGCGGTAATTATTCGCCGATATAGGCCTAATACAAAACATATATAACAGTACTTCAAAGAATACAGTTGGGCTACATACCTCATTATCACCTCGTGGGGACACCTGTTGATTGGAATTTGGAAAATTTATCACATTTTTTTCAGTTTTGTAAATCCAGTTTCCGCTTGATTGTTCGTATCTGAACTCCACTCTCTGCAACAGTCAGAGATATTAGACTAACCTGCAATATACATCATAATGTCTCACTGATTTCCAAAGAGTATAAACCAATTAAAACATGAATATTACTGAAAAGTAAATATTTAAATCCCTACCTTCCGGCCCGTAGATGGCGTTACGATCGTTGTTGATTTCCCAGGATTCATCTCGCACATGTTAAAATGGACAAACTCGAAACTCTGCGAAATAAAAGGCTTATGAAGAAGCTGAAGAAGAAACAAATGGTCAATAAAGAAGTAGTCATATCTCAAAATATAGGTAGGTTTATGTATTATAGGAAGAATTCGGCGCTAAGTCGTATTAATATCTCGAAAATAACAATCTAAAATTAGGAATTTTTAATTTCACGGTATTATCGCCCACAACGTGGAATTTATTTCTAATCAGATTTTGTTTTTCATTGGGTTCTCTCATTTAGGTTATTCGACGATATCTGGTTTAACTGAAGTTGAACTCTTCAAACGGTTTATGAAAACGGATCTGTTTCAGTAGGTTTACAATATGTCACAGACTCTATGTCTATGTCGATAATCTGCAAAAGGCTAATAAGCCCATATAGAGCAGATATATAATTTAACAGTGATAGAATTTGAATAGAATATAATTTAAAACCTTAACATTTAAGAATAGATCTATGGTTTACAACTCATTTAAAAATTGAAAGGAACCTTCCTGGTTGGCCCCTGTACCCCCCTAGGAAGTCCCTTTATGTTGAAAAACCCTGGGGCCACTGTCAGGCTACCGGTTGACATGTTGACATCACCCCTCTTTACCAGTAGTGCCTCGAAGGACAGTACACTTTTATTTTTTCATTGATGGGTGTCCTCTAGTATGTATCCAACAGACCGAATATAATATTCGGTCTGTTATGATTGATATATTTCCTGTGGAAATCGCGGTGATATTTTTTGCACATTAATTTCTCGTTTATTATAAGAATGTTCACCTTGAAAATTGGTGAATATGTTGAAGAGATGTTCATCTTAAGGTCTCATGGAAGTTAAAGGTGCTACAAATAGTGCAGGGGGGCCATTCAACGATCATCGACAAGTGTCAAAATATATTTAGGTTTGGATATTTCATCAAGACTAACATATATTTTCATTATCTACAAAGAAATCCTCTGGATGAACATTATTTCAGCTGATATTCCTCTTGAAACATGGTGGATCTTAAAAAATCTATAAGTGGGACTCCCTTTATAGAAGCTTTGAATTGAATTTACACTTCTTAATGCTGACATTGATAGTTTATACATACATTTTATGAAAATAGGTATGTCAAAGAAGGTATTAAGCCAAATATTGACCTGATAGCTCAGAAAAAATAAAAATTTTCGAATTTTCTCTCTACAGTCCTTATTGCCCCTTTAACAGGAAATGACAAAACAAAAAATGACAATGCCATGCTGGATTTTGAAAATTTTTTGAACCAAGATAACAGAGTTCTGTTTGGACCTCCAGTCAGTTTAACTAGTTCCACATATCATTTACATGACCGGGAACACAGTTGAAATGGTCAGAATGACCATAAACATGATAGAATAACCTTTTCAGCCCTCTGAAAATGTGACTAAAAAATAGCTAAGAGTAGGTGCTCAGGAAAGGTCACTGAACAGAATATTTTGACTTTTTCAGAAAATGTGCCCAATATATTGCTCTAAATGATACAATTCAAAAAAATTTGATATCATTCTTAGAAAAAGAAAAAATTGAAAAAAACTGAATTGAAATCGATCTATTTTCCTTTTTACTACAGCCATTATTGTTTCAGACGATTTTTTAAAATTTCAAAGATTGTGTCATTTAGAGCAATATATTGGACACATTTTCTGAAAAAATCAAAAGATTCTGTTCATTGACCTTTCCTGAGCACCTACTTTTAGCTATTTTTCAGTCACATTTTCAGAGGGCTAAAAAGGTTATTTTATCATGTTTATGGTCATTCTGACCATTTCAATTGTGTTCCTGGTCATGTAAATGATATTTGGAACTAGTTAAACTGACTGGAGGTCCAAACAGAACTCTGTTATCTTGGTTCAAAAAATTTTCAAAATCCAGCATGGCTTTGTCATTTTTTGTTTTGTCATTTCCTGTTAACTTCCATGAGACCTTAAACTAGAAGCAAAAATATTTGTATAAGGCGGGTACAAGTTGATATAAAATAATGAAATGTTCAGACTCACCGAAACTTCAGGATGTGTTCATAAGTAGATCGCGAAATCAATGTCAAGGACGTTTGAGTTCACGAGATCTAAACGAGATATGCAAATTTTGAACTTTGACAACACATGACCACTTGATTACCTCGGCCTTCTTCATGAATATTTCCGCTCTATTTACTATAAATGAAGAAAATAAATCGGGATAATGATAATAAATGACTAGATCTAATAAATTCCCGCACAAATGGAATTTAGCAATACGCTTCCGTAATGTTGCTCCCGCTCCACGTGTTATTTGTTTACAAATAGACTGACGTCACTGGCTAAATCTCGTTTATCGTGAGAATTGGCATTGCCAAAATGGCTTGACCTAATCAATGGCTTCGCTACAAGAAGCGTCTGTACATTTTATGAATATCTTCAGTAAGAGGACAATATACGAAAAAATAATATTGTGAGTTCTTTATAAGGTAATCATTCTATCATTAAACAAACTTATTTGTAACATTTATACAACACCACATTTTACAATAGGTGACTTACAGTCTGAATATTTATTCAGACGAAGGATACAGTCTAGGGTGTCCTCTAGTATGTATCCAACGAATATAATATTCGGTCTGTTATGATTGATATATTTCCTGTGGAAATCGCGGTGATATTTTTTGCACATTAATTTCTCGTTTATTATAAAATAATGTTCACCTTGAAAATTGGTAAATATGTTGAAGAGATGTTCATCTTAAACTAGAAGCAAAAATATTTGTATAAGGCGGGTACAAATTGATAAAAATAATGAAATGTTCAGACTCACCAAAACTTCAAGATGTGTTCATAAGTAGATCGCGAAATCAATGTCAAGGACGTTTGAGTTCACGAGATCCAAACGAGATATGCAAATTTTGAACTTTGACAACACATGACCACTTGATTACCTCGGCCTTCTTCATGAATATTTCCGCTCTATTTACTATAAATGAAGAAAATTAATCGGGATAATGATAATAAATGACTAGATCTAATAAATTCCCGCACAAATGGAATTTAGCATACGCTTCCGTTATGTTGCTCCGTCCGCTCCACGTGTTATTTGTTTACAAATAGACTGACGTCACTGGCTAAATCTCGTTTATCGTGAGAATTGGCATTGCCAAAATGGCTTGACCTAATCAATGGCTTCGCTACAAGAAGCGTCTGTACATTTTATGAATATCTTCAGTAAGAGGACAATATACGAAAAAATAATATTGTAAGTTCTTTATAAGGTAATCATTTTATCATTAAACAAACTTATTTGTAACATTTATACAACACCACATTTTACAATAGGTGACTTACAGTCTGAATATTTATTCAGACGAAGGATACAGTCTAGGGTGTCCTCTGTCGAACTTCGAAGTATGCTACCTCATCAAGGGACTAATTTGATCATGGGATTATTTTGGACATAGCTGACAATTCACATTCTCTAGGTCACACTCTAGGATTAATCTCTCCTACATTATAGTCAAAACAGAAATGTTTGTGAATACTTTGAATTAAAAAAATAAGCAATCAAATGACCATATTGAAACAGTTAATGTTAAAATAGGAACACTTATATTTATCCTAACTTTTGTATATTTTAGTTTTAGAGGAAGTACATGTAATATTTTATTTTAAGTTCAACTGATTAGCCTTAGGTAGGATCTGCATAGTCTTTTTGTACGAGCTTGTTCAGATAAGCCGGGGTGCCTTTGGCTCAATGGCATTGAACTGACACCCTCTTTTTCAACACTAAGCTCCCCAGATGTGCCTTGCGTTGTTGCAGATTGTTAATACGATTAATAACTGTTCCATTTCCCGTTCTATTTACATACTATAAATGAGGAATAATTCTGATCATTCCATTCATTCAGGAATATCGTAATGATTAAATTTTTTTTAAGTAGGAGGCTGAGAAGTTGTGATGATTCTATTGACATGTCACCAATCATAGAAAAAGAAACCCTACCTCCAACATTTTGTTATTGAAACAGATCTATTTAAATTACCAGTTTGAAGAGTTCTTAGTACACAGTGAATTTACCTATGGAATATAAAAATGTTCATTCATTCAGCAGATATATGGGAAATAACCACCATTCGAACATGACTGTATTCACGCCTTCTATAAACTGTGAACAAAGTCAATGTTTCACCCTAGGCATATTCGAGATCAATGCCCTGGCTCTGTACTAAGTGTTTTGTTCAGTGCAAAAGCTCAACCAGAAGTAGAAATGAAAAAAGTCGAAATGACCATCGAAATTGATGATTTTGCAATACTCTGGTGAGTTTTCATGTTCGAATCGTAATATAGACCTCAGAGCAGGGCTACTTTTTTCGAATACACCCCTTAGGGCTAGGCACAAAGACTTCCGAACCCCTCACTCCCTTCGGTCGTTTGGGGTACAGAAAACGTATGTGCCAAGCCCTGCAGGGTGTATTCAAAAATAGTAGCCCTGCTCTTGTGGTCTATATTTCTAAATAATAAAGACAAGTTTATCAGACTAGAGTCTGCCCCACAGGAATTCGTCAAGAAGTGTTATAAAAAAATGTTTTCTAACAGTTGTGTCTAATATGTCCGACATCGTCCGATCACAGGGCTTCAAAATCCAGAATATATTCTTTATTACCCCCTGCGATAAGCAGTTAGTATTTCCCCGATTTATAACTCGCAATCTGATTGGCTGTCGCAACACTGCGACAGAAATCATGTATTTAGTCATTGCGCATAATTATATCAGGTGATTCAGTTTAATCGGGTGTTTCCAAATTGGTTATAGCAGGGAGAAGGAGGTACGGATTCTTGATAGCTGCTTAGGAGGATGATGTGTCCTATGGCAGAAATATTTTGGCATTGCTATTCAATGGTTTTCTTTTTTTTGAATTGGACTCCAGATTTTGTGTATTTATGAAATTTGATACTAATTGGAACATATGTAATTTCAGCAAAGACACCAGAAGTGCAAACAAAGAAAAATAAACAGTCAAAGAAATCAAAACTAGAAAAGTCAACAGGTAGATTGATTTGTTGTTATTATTAAGTAATTAATGTTATTATTAAGTAATTAATGTTATTATTAAGTAAAACCAGTTTAGTAATCTTCACAGAATTTTGTTGTGTAAAATTCTCATTTGCACAAATCAGACCAATATTGGTCAAAATATGCCAATTTTTCATGATTAATCTAATTTTCAAGTGGGTGCAAATGGATTTTCAGGTGGGTGCAAGCCTGTTGGTTAAATCTCAAGTGGGTGTTGCGCCCACTTGCTATAATAATAAGGAGATCACTGGCTTATATCCGAACACCTCTCAATTTGAACACTTTTCCTTGTCCCAGTTTTACTTTCTCCCATTGACTCTTATGTTAAAAACCTTGAAAAGTGAACACCTGATGACCCAACTCTTTTGAATGGTCCAAGGGGTGTTTGGATTAGATAGGGTTTAATTTATGTATAAGGTTTAATGGGTAGAGAACTAACAAATGTTAAACAATGGGAATCTTTTTTAATTGTAACATGAATAACAGTTACAGTCAGAAGTGTGTTTCAAAGAGTGTCCAGATGTATTTCATTCAACTGTTATTTGAACCACAGTTTTTTGCCAGACAGGTGATTTTTCAAAGACTACCCAGGACAATAGTTTGTTGCCTCCCCTGGGTGTATATTGTACATAGAGATTATCCTACATGAGGTTCAGGATATTGGGATTATCCTGAGGCTATTAATAGTATATCTGCCCGCTTAGCCAGAGTAAAAACTATATCCTTCCTGCTGGTGGAAACACAACTCTACAAACTTGCTTTATGTACCTCAAACATGGCCAAGTTTGGGATGTATATCTATCTTTCATGTTTGATGTATGTAACATTGTTTTATTTCCCATTTAGAGGTGAACACAGTCTCGCTGAAAGGTGGCAAGGACAACAGAAAGCGCAAACTTGGCGGTGACAGTCAAATAAAAGGTATGTACTCCAATTCAAGGGCCTGTTTCACAAATTATGATAAATTCATGTCATGTTCATGAACTTCATATTGCATAGTTGTTATAAAACTATGGCAGTTGCATAGTATGAATCGACAGAATAGAAACATAGTCAGTCCATGAATAGATATATACAATATTTTCCTGACCCTTTTTGGTAAATCAAGTCCAACGGAGCAATGCTCTTAAGATAGATTGGCTATATTTATGATGTCATATTTTGCAGGCATCATTGTTTATTATAGACTAACTCAAAAGATTTGAAAATAAGCATGAGTTATCCTATTTCTGCCCAGATTAACAATGACATCATAAACAATAGATGGCATCTTTAAATGACACAGTTACAAATGAGTTAAAATTATTTAAAAACTACACATTTTAAATTTCAGCAATTTATTTATGTAAATTCGTGTAATTTTACTGGGTCACCATGTATGACCTGAACTTATATGAATTTAAGGGGATGGAGTCTATTGATACAAATTGGTATACAGGGTGTCCATGAAATCTCAAATTACAGTTCAAAGTCTGTGTAAAATCTAGACTTTATAGACACCTTGTATATTGAATCGAATGTAGAAATTCATTGAATTTATCAATGGAGCCCTATTATACTGAAAATCTTACAGAAAGATAAAATGAATAAATCCAATACATCTGACATGATTTCTATTTCCAGCCAAGAAGAAGAAAACTTTGAACACCAAGAAAGAAGATGAAGATTCTGATGAAGACGAAGACTCAGAGGAAGAAGATAATATTTCAGATGATGAAGAGTCAAATAGTGACAATGAAATAGAGAACTCAGGAAGTGAAGATGAGGATGATGAAGGAGAAGAGGATGAGTCAGGCGAGGATGGTGAAGACGAGGATTCTGGTCCAAAGGAAATAGGAGGAAGTGAACCAATTGAATCACAGTGTAAGTTTGATAAATTAATATGAATGCAAAGAAATACATCATGCAATGTTATATTTCTGGCACTAACAGTGAGCATATGAAACCACCCAGCTCTTCTGTTAGCTTGTTGAGATTGGTGGAACAAATCAAAACTCTCATACATATTTGATCATGTTCAAATATATATTATATCTACTTGACTTGTGAGGGCAATTTTCTAAGTCCTCTATTTCCAATGATAAATGAATTTCACTCTTGATCAGAAAAAGTGGAAACATGGAACACCCTGTATATATGTTTCTCATGAATAAACCCTGTATCCAATCCCTCTCATTGCATAACTCCATATTTATTTCCAGTACCAGGTAGTAGCGTTGGACTCGAGATATCCTCAGATACGTCATTTAAATCTTTAGAAGGCAAAGTATGTGACCTCACATTGAAAGGAATTGTAGATATGGGATTTACACACATGACAGAGATTCAAGCCAAAAGTATACCCCATCTACTAGAAGGAAGGTAATAATTTTGATTATTATATAATTGCTACAATCCCAGTGATCTGATTGGCCAATGCAGTACCATGTGATCAATAATATCAATGTATTGCATTTCTACTAGAGGGCAGGTAATAATTTTGATTCAAACATGACTGTATTCACTCCTTCTATAAACTGTGAACAAAGTCAATATTTCACCCGGTTATATTCGCGAAGAATACCCCTAGTAATACAAGTAATGTCTGACGTCATAATGGCAGTCAGTAGTAAGGGCCTACCATAATGAATATTCGTAACATTTTGGTGAGTTTTCATGTTCGAAGCGTAATATTGACCTCAGAGCAGGTGTTATATCAACGATTACAGACCTTAGTATAGAAAATGTTTGTGCCTAGCCCTACAGTCTGTATTCCATTGATATAAAACTGCTTCACCAGTATTATCCCCAGGTCTTTCATTCCAAGTGTATTATGGCAACATATAATTACCCGAACATATTTGTTTTAGGGATCTCCTTGGAGCTGCTAAAACTGGGAGTGGAAAAACATTGGCTTTCCTCATTCCTGCTGTAGAACTATTATACAAACTGAAGTTTATGCCAAGAAATGGTAAGTTCTACAAAAGTCTAATTTATTTCATTTTGTTTTTAGATTTATTTATAGAAAATAATTGCTGCCCCTTACCCCCATTTCATAGAAATGGCATACACCTGGCATACCTGCCTTCATCTTGTTAAAATGGTGAAATACATGATGAGATATTTTGAATAGTTAAATGTAAAATTAGGATTTTATCCCATTGAGAAAACATTTTTTTTGAAATGATCAGAAATTGGACTGCGTTAAAAGGTTAATTTTCTTTTTGTTTTCTGATTTTTTCGAAAATTAAAGAATTGCATGCCACATTACATGGACATCTGCCTTCATCTTATCAAAATGATGAGATATTTTGAATAATTTAATTAATGTAAAATTAAGATTGATTCCAATGAGAAAACAATTTTTTAGAAAAGATCAGAAATTGGATTGTGTTCTTCTTGAATAGGAATCCCACTTACAGATATGGTATTATATTTTGTTTGTTTTTATCATTGTTTTTTTCATCTTAGGTACTGGAGTAATTATAATATCTCCAACCAGAGAGCTCTCAATGCAGACATTTGGTGTGTTAAAAGAACTGTTAAAATACCATTGTCACACGTATGGGCTAATAATGGGAGGTACTAACAGAGTGGAAGAGGCGAAGAAGCTGACCAAGGGAATAAATATACTAGTGGCGACACCTGGCAGACTTCTAGATCATTTACAGGTGATTCCGAGGTTTAGAGATATGATGCAAAAAATGGCTAAAATTTAATATGTATTTTTGAGCAAGTATTGGCATGAGTAAAACATGTGGTATTTGAAAAAGCATGTGTCTTATTCAATAGCTTTTATTATCAGTGATTCTTGGCACCTTGAGTTTGAAAATAGAAATTACCTGGATGTTAATTCGTGGATTATCCTTGAAAATGAGAAATATATTTTTGAATTATATCTCATAATCAAATAGTCAATAAAATTCTTTATCATGTTTATGGATATAAAACACAAGCAAAATCATGAAAAGAAATTCCCAAAATCATTTTACAAAATCTTGGTGTTTCGCAAGATTTATTTCTTCATGAGAAAGTATAGGAGTGAATCCCTTCATCAATAGGTGCAAAATCTGGAAGGTTTTCTCTGATTTATTTTTGATTTCGAACTTACACTTTCGAGATGTGAGGATTATGTAGTTATGATAAAAGTCTTTGACTTAAATGTTGCCCTTTGTGCTTAAGGAGAGTATTTATATATTTTTAGAACACGCCCGACTTCATGTTCAAGAACCTACAGTGTCTTATCGTTGATGAGGCGGATAGAATATTAGAAGTCGGATTTGAGGAAGAAATGAAACAAATCATAAGACTACTGCCAAGTAAGTTTAAAGTATATCAAGGTAAAATGAAGGATAACTCATTGATATCTTCCTAGGGATAATTCTCATATTAAGTGCTCACAAAAACATCAGGAAAGATTAAATTTCTTAAGAATTAATGTGGCCGATAATTGAGTACTATAGTGTGCTAAAAGTGTCACATTTTTAATTTGATGCATTCTCCTGATAAGCACCTGTCATTTGGAACTCTATACTATACTAAACTCAAAATAGTACAGAATGAATAAAGGAATTATTCAAATTGAAGAGTTTTGTTTTTTATTTTTGACATGAAAGCTTCTGAGCAGCTTTTTTGGGCATGTGAGGTCATGAACTTTCTTGGTTCTTTCTATCGTTTATCTTTATTCTCTTGTTTTTACATGATTTTTACACAAAAATAAATGATGACCACTGTGCTTTTCTGAGCCAATAATTGATATCATATCCCTCCCATTGAATAATACTTATATCCTCACAATATTTTATTGCAGAGCGCAGACAGACAATGTTGTTCTCAGCCACTCAGACAAGGAAGACAGAAGATCTCGCAAGGATTTCATTAAAAAAGGAACCAATGTATGTCGGTGTGGACGATAAGAAAATTAATGCCACGGTAGAAGGTTTAGAACAAGTAAGATTAATACAGGGTGTCATTATCTATTTTTATTAACCTCTTGACTGTCCAGAGTGATGAGATTTCTCGTCACCTAAGAAATGACTTTGAAGCCTAGAGACAAGATAATCTGTCACAAAATTAAGCATCCCCTTTGTACAGTGAAAAGCTGGCAAAAAGGAAAAATTCTCTGGGTTCAAACTGATTTTAGAGACTGGGATTCAAGAGGTTAATAAGGGGAATAATGTTTTGATTTTACCCCCTGATTTTGGTATTAAAGTGTTGAACCAGTTGATAATAGGGAAGTTATTAGCTACATTTTTGTAATAGAACTTTTATGTGAATGTGTAGAATTATGACCCATTGTGGAAGTCAGTGTTGTTAGCAGTGTAACAGAGGTATTGTCCACTGCTCGTGACGCCACATATATTAAAGACATGGAGTGTGCCGAGAGGGTTTATAGTAGCACTTAAATACTCTGCGATTTACTCCAACAACTCTTTTATCTGAACATCTTTTGTGTCATGGATAATGATATTATGGGTATTTGATATATTCAACAAATCTGCAAGATTTATTTTTTCATGAGAAGTTCATGAATAAATCACGAAATACATTTGTAAATAGGTGCATGGTATGGTAAAATGTATGATGAAAAAATCATGGCAAACCTAACAGGTTTAACTGTATCATTTAGCAATTTATTTGTAAACTTCTCATGAAAAATGAATCTCGCAGATTTGTTGAATTTTCTAGCAGAAATTGCATTTTGCATTTCAATGCCTTGTCTTGGTTTATTTTAGTGGAGGAAGGGTGTGCGTTAGAAGCTAATTTGCTTAAATTTTTACCATTTCCGATAAACTGTTACCTACGCTTCTATTTAAGGGCTATGTGGTCTGTCCAGCAGAGAAAAGGTTTCTCCTTCTTTTCACATTCCTGAAAAAGAATCGTAAGAAGAAAATGATGGTCTTCATGAGCAGTTGTATGGCGGTGAAATATTATAATGAGCTGTTGAATTATATAGACATGCCCGTCATGTGCATCCATGGGAAACAGAAGCAACAAAAACGAACGCAGACATTCTTTCAATTCTGTAACACTAAGGAGGCCATACTCCTCTGTACAGATGTCGCCGCTAGAGGTCTTGATATCCCAGCCGTTGATTGGATTGTGCAGTTTGATCCGCCAGATGATCCTAAGGTGAGAGACAATTTAAAAGATGTCACCCCAAGGAGGATTGACTCTCAGGGTTCCAACTTGTTATTTTTAATCTCCAAGCAATTTGTTTAGTGCTGATTTTTGTGGGGGAGTTCATACAAATAAACTGCAAGGAGAATGGCTGATATTCTTGTGGCATTTGTAGATATCGACAACAACATTGAAAACATCATTATTTTCTGATGTTATAACTGACTATAAATTCGTAATCTAAGATCCAAAAGGTTTTAACTAATCTTTATCACTTTTTATGTTTTGAAATTTTTTGTCAGAAATAAGTCCCAAATTTGTGATTGAATGTTTGATTTATAATTTTGTCATCGCGGTATGACTCCTCCATTCATGGAAAAATATCGAGTTGAAATCCTGGGAACCAATCCTTCTTGATGCCAACCTAGGTGTTTTTTATCTCATTTGAAATGTCCTGCATTGACTAAGTCTCATATTTGGCTACTGAGTTGCCATTTTGAAAATGGCAGCAATGGTTGTTTGAGGGATTTTCAGCGCCTTGGCGTTGCTGTTATCTATTTAATATCAGATCTTCAAATATACTTTTTCAGCTTTAATACAAAATGTCAAGAAATAGTTTGTAAGATGAACCTTGAAGCATTAAGAATAAGCCAATATTCATTTTTGATTTTAAAGTCTAGAAATTCAATTCTCAAAATACACAAATATTCAAAAGATTTCATTGTAATTCCACTTGGCTCTTTTAATCAAAGAAATTCTTGTACATTAGTGAAGCTAACCATCCTAACTGGTAGTAATATATTGTGACTGCATCCCTCCAGTATCATCCTTTTCTCCAGAAAATCTTAATTTTGAATCCTGCACTTTTATTGGTATTTAGATTGTTAACCTAGGCAATTTTCTGCAATAAAATTCACCAAATCTGGAAGATTTATTTTTTCAAGAGAAAGTTTACAACTTATTCTATATTTCAAATACAATGTACATTTATAAAGTGAGGGACCAAAAGGTAATTCCCAGGAGCCAGACCCATCCTTTCAACTACCCTTTGTATTCATTAGACTTTATTTCTTAAAAGAGAGCCTCGTCTTCACTCTTTTAGTAAACAATAAATCTCTGATCTCACCGAGCCAATCAGAGTTTGTCGTTGAAATAAGGACGACTTTATATACAGTATAGTCATTTCGTCTGACATTACCACATAGTTGATGGGCATGTATTTAGCATCTTCCACTTCGCTGATTGGTTGAGAAGGGTCAGTGTAGTAGATTTGAAATGATTTGTTACCTCAGGTGTCACAGGCACCAATCTTTGGGGCTGGGCTGCTAATTTTTTGTAATATAGTCTATATAGGCAGTGGGTAGTTAAACCGTTTATAACTAGACTCTGTGCTCAGGGTAACTTTAAACCAAATATTTGGTCTGTATGTAGTGTGCCCAAATATTATATTAAGATGAAATTCGATGGATAAAGGTGACATAATCAAGAAAACAAAAAAATCTTTGACCAGACGTTCAGCCTTGCTATTGGAACTAATCAAAATGTCAAGAAAATGATTTTGAACTAAATCTTAGCACTAAAGAAAAATATATCATTTATTTTTGATTTTTAATGCGAGAAATAAAATTGTGAATTTGAATTAGAATACATTGACATTCAAGCAATATCAAAACATTTATTGTTTAGTCAGCTAAAAACACACAAAGCTTTGTATATATATCTTGACTTTTGGAGCCAATCAACTTGATTGGTAATATTTTTTTATGGTATGTTAAGGTACTTGCCTTCACCATTTTACACCTCTCCTTCATGCTTGGGTTGCATAAGTTGCCTCAAAGTGTGGTGCACCTCTTCCAAGTTACATCAAAGTGTGGTGCACTTCTTCCAAGTTACCTCAAAATGTGGTGCAAATCTTCCAAGTTACCTCAAAGTGTGGTGCACCTCTTCCAAGTTACCTCAAAGTGTGGTGCACCTCTTCCAAGTTACCTCAAAGTGTGGTGCACCTCTTCCAAGTTACCTCAAAGTGTGGTGCAAATCTCCCATAAGTTTGGTTATTTAAAGTTTTTATTAGCATATTATGTTTTAATCTAGATTTTGTTCCTCAGCAAAAGTTATTACAAAATTTATAATTGTGTAACCAGCACATTTACAAAAAGTGACTATTTGATTAAAATTTGATAATTTAGTGAGCTATGATACCAAAGGTGTCATAATATTTTCATGTGTGCAGGAGTTTTATCATTATCTCAAACCAACTTTTAAACTTCATCAAAATGTCAAGAAAATGGTTTGAAACTGAACCATGGCACCAAATAATAAGAATATTTTTTTTATTTTTAATGCTAGAAATAAAGTTATGAATTTGAATTAGGCAACCTCCACATTCAAGCAATATTTAAATGGGACAGTATCTTTTCCATTCAATCTAGGTTGGGCCATGCAGCCGAAGGTAAGCGATACAACCGAAGCTAAGCCATATGACCGAATTTTGCCGATTCAATCTGACGGAGAATGCTGAGCCTCTTTTTGACCAATAAGAGACTTCCTACTCACATTTGTGTTACCCTCGGCCAACTTCATTTGCAAAGAAAATTCTTCGGCAATCTCCGACTTTTCTTGAGGCATCTTCGGTTGCAAGCCAAAAGTCGACACCCCAAATATTCTATAGTTTAGTCAACAATCTTACATCATACCTTATGATTAATATCTTGACTTTTGGAGGCGAATCATCTTGATTGTTAATATTGTATAATTGATTACATGCTGGCTTTCTCCTTACATACCCCTCCCCCATGCTTTAGGAATTTCACATATTATCAAAGAGTATGTACCCTTGCATTCGTTCGACTTCGCTTCTCAAAAGAGGACTGGACTCACCGAGTGAATCAGAATTCATCATCGAAATACGGACAACTTTCTATGTAGGGTCCTTTACTCTGATGTATTTTGATACTGGTCATTGTGCAGCCCAAAAAGGAATGCAATTTACATGCTTGTGAGGCTTGTGAGGGATTTATGCTTGTGAGGGATTTATACGCAACCATATTACCAGTCATGTTGACTGGCTACAAAATCAGTTATTCTAAAAATCGTTCTGAATACTGAATAACAGATTTACATGAAATTGTAATGTTCTAATAGTGTGAACCTCAAGGCAAACTCATTGAAATTCACAATTTTATTTGTAGCATTAAAGATCGATTATGAACGTAATCTAAATCTTTGGTGCCGTGGCTCAGTTTAATGCAAATTGCTTGACATTTTGATAAAGCTGAAAGTTGGTTTGACACATTCTCATCACTTTAAATTGCAATCTTAGGTTGTGTCAACATCATCTGTAAGATTTGGAGCTATAATGAAAGAATATACAATGATGAACAAATGGGGCAAAAATTGAGTACAAATACTCACTATAAAGATGTCATTACAAGAACTGTTCCTTTGATTGCTGCAGACAATTTGACTTTTCGAAGGTTTCTAAATTTAGAATATAACATCATTACTGAATTAGAACGTTTCAAATAATATGCGTTACGTTCAATTACTCCTGAGGTTAACTTATTAAATCTCAGAATCTTGTCACCAAAATTCAAAGAAAACAATTTATCCGTTCAATTTATTTCACAGATACATGAGCTAACTATTGCTAAGATTTGATTAGGTTTTTGGTACACTGGCTAAATTACATGTTGGCCATTTTAGTTTTATCAACAAGAAATTTTTACAGATGCAAGAGCAGACAAGACATGTCAAGATCTGATTAGGTTTTGGGCATGCTGGGTAAATTACTTGGCGACCATTCTGCTTTTCAAAGTGCCATGTTTATCACTGTGTGTTTTGTTTTAGTTCTAGTATTGTTCACCTTGTGTTTTCCTAAGACGAAATGCTTCCACAGTAGAGGACGTAGGGGTAATCTCGGACACGGGGCATTGTCGGACGATCTTCAATAATTCTTTGTTTTATATGGTTTATTTTTTGAAATTTTGTATTAGTCACATCATATTATCGATGTGGTGCTATATATTGTAAAAAATCTAACAATGCCCCGGATTTTCACCTGATACCAAGTGTTTGTCCGGGAATGAATGCCCCATGGCCGAGAATGCCCCTATCTCCTCTACTTTAAATTTGTCTTTTAGTTAATCTTGTTCCATGTGTGCATATGATTGGTGTGTTGTGCAACAGGAGGGTATTTGTCATACTTTGTCGATCTTATAGGGGCCATTGGTCACGCTTTGTGGATCTCAATGCTGAAGAATCAGTGCCTTTAATTGATTTATTATTTGATGAAATTATATTTTCAGGAGTACATACACAGAGTTGGTCGTGCAGCACGAGGGGAAGGGGGCATTGGTAACGCTTTGTGGATCTCAATGCTGAAGAATCAGTGCCTTTTATTGATTCCCTATTCGATTCAATTATATTTTCAGGAGTACATACACAGAGTTGGTCGTCCAGCACAAGGGGAAGGGGGCATTGGTCACGCTTTGTGGATCTTAATGCTGAAGAGTCCGTGCCTTTTATTGATTCCCTATTCGATTCAATTATATTTTCAGGAGTACATACACAGAGTTGGTCGTACAGCACGAGGGGAAGGGGGCATTGGTCACGCTTTGTTGATTTTACGACCAGAAGAGCTAGGCTTCTTACGCTACCTAAAACAAGCCAAGGTTCCTCTGAACGAGTTTGAGTTCTCTTGGAGTAAAATATCTGATATTCAGCTACAGGTATGTTAAGAACAACCCTTGGATAAAATCACTTGGCACACCTTTCTCAATAACACAATCTGGCATTTGCAAATTCAACCACCAGTTATCGGCTGACAATTTTATCCATTGTTTTATGGCCAACTCATTTAAATATGAATTATGTCAGTGGTAGGTACTGTTCATATTTTAATGAATTGGTCATTAAGTAGTGGATTGAATTGTCAGTTGACATCTGACAGTTGAATTTGTGATTGCTACATAAGAAAACAACCAATCGGTTATCATTGGCACAAGTCGGCTATCATTGGCACCAATTGGTTGCACCAATTGGTTATTATTGACACCAATTGGTTATCATTGGCACCAGTCGGTTATCATTGGGACCAATTGGTTATCATTGGCACCAATTGGTTATCATTGGCACCAGTCAGTTATCATTGGCACCAGTCGGTTATCATTGGCACCAATCGGTTATTATTGGCACCAATTGGTTATCATTGGCACCAATTGGTTATCATTGGCACCAATTGGTTATCATTGGCACCAATTGGTTATCATTGGCACCAATTAGTTATCATTGGCACCAGTCAGTTATCATTGGCGCCAGTCAGTTATCATTGGCACCAGTCGGTTATCATTGGCACCAGTTGGTTATCATTGGCACCAATTGGTTATCATTGGCACCAATTGGTTATCATTGGCACCAATTGGTTATCATTGGCACCAATTAGTTATCATTAGCACTAATTGGTTATCATTGGCACCAGTCGGTTATCATTGGCACCAGTCGGTTATCATTGGCACCAATTGGTTATCATTGGCACCAATTGGTTATCATTGGCACCAATTGGTTATCATTGGCACCAATTAGTTATCATTGGCACTAATTGGTTATCATTGGCACCAATTTGATAATGTTAAAAAATTGAGTTTTCACACTTTTATGTTATATAAAAAAAATATTTTGCTCTGTTTTAGCTTGAGAAACTTATCGAGAAGAACTACTTCCTACACAAATCAGCGCAGGAGGCGTACAAGGCGTATATTCGGGCGTACGCTTCAAACAGTTTGAAGACTGTCTTCAATGTCGACACATTAGATCTCCAAAAATCTGCGATGGCATTTGGCTTCAAGGTCCCACCCTTTGTTGATCTGAGTATCCTTGAAAAATATTGCATATGTGCATATGGGTTGAATGAACATGTATAGTAGGCCCGTACCCAGGATTTACCTAGGGGGGGGGGCAGTTTTACCAAGGGGGAGCTTTTGCCAAGGGGGGATGAGCTTTTTGACAGTTTTGGCAAAAAAGCGTGCGAATAGTGCTCAGATTGGTGAAAAACATCATGATTTTGAAAGAATTTTTGGCCAGGGTGGCAGCTCCCTCCGCTCCCCCTGGCTACGGGCCTGTATAATGAACAGGGGATTTCTTAAGGAGGGAGTAGTGTTACTTGTTCCATATTTCATCAAAATAGAAATTGAAAGTCAAGAGAAATTTTCACTTTGGAAGACATTTTTTTCGTATAATGACCATTGAATTGTAAAGTACTAAAGATATCATTCGTTTGCTTCTTCAAGGCAGAATCAATTCTAACTACTCTTCAGTTTTAGAATTCTTTTCTAAAATTTGCTAAATAGCTACAATTCAGAAAAATGCAGATTATATTTATTTATTATTATATTAAAAAATATATCATCCTAATTTAAAAAAGTTATTTTGGGGTCATCTCAAAAATCTGCCAAACTATATGCTTATTAACACTAAGAAAATTCCAATTTTACTCTCACTTATGCCTCAGTCATGTTTTTATCTACGGCAACCATACGGCGGCCATAGCTTCTTAAAATCAAGAAAAATATGCAGCATAAAATATAGGGATAATCAGTACGATGTTGATTTTCTATATTACAGGGCTTGCATTAACGGCGTCCCTTACATGTAAGTGACGCAAAAAAAAATTGTAGGACGGAAAAATAAAAAATATTTCCGTTTTTGGGACGGAAAAAAAATTGAGTCAAAACTTTGAACATTTTTTGAAAATCTTGAAAATCTCAATAGTTGATCATGTTTGACTTCTTTGAGGTGTATATTAAGATCAAAATATGTGAGATTTACAACTTTATTTTGAGTAAAAAAGAAAAAGAATGCAGAAAAACGAACTATTGTAATGGGCGATAATAGGTTATCAGTTTGCATGTGACATATTTTTCTCACTGAAAAGCTGATATAAAACCTTCAAAATGAGTTCAATTGTACAAATGATGCATACTTACCTAGGTGAAGTAGTCTATTTGTGATTATATAACGTCAAAATGGTCTAATTTATGATATAAATCAGAGGATTCTGATCATGTAGAAAATGTAGTGATACACTAAATTACTGAGCGTCAGACAAATTCATACTAAAAAATGTTCTTATTTTTTCAAGCAGTTGTTCAGTGCAAACTGCAAACAGCAAGTATAAAGATAATCACAGTATAATAGTACTTACTATAACAGGCTGGAGGTTACATAACATAAGTGAATTGAATATAAAGAACATGTTTAAATCACAGGGCACGAATGGCAACATTTTGAAAACACATAAGACATGTAAGATCAAGTCATGCACATTCCAAAATAGCCCATTATAGCTAATTTAGCTTATATATTGGAGGACACACTTTTTTCAGTCGGGACTCACTTTTTAAAATTTTTTCCTTCATTGGAACTCACATTTTTCAGAGCCTAATGCAAGCGCTGATATTGATTTTGAGAAGCTTTGCCCATCGTACACCTGCCATACAGTCGAAATGTTGATACATGCGCAGACCTCTATTTAGTGATATTTTCATTTCAAATATGGCGGCCAATCCGATGTCTGACGACCCTTACAAAGAATCTAGGCAGTTTGCATTTTTACCTCCTGTGAAATAACAAGTGGAATTTAGTAGTTGTTTTGTGTTTTATTATCATCCTGCATCGTAATTATATGTGATGTGGTGTTGAAATGTCAGCAGAAATACATATCCATACGATAATCGAGTGAATCAGATAACAGATTTTTCGAAAACCCGTCTTGTGCTAAGAGTGTAAAAACTTGTATTAACATGCTCAAAAGTGCCAATGTGCACATCAATGTCAAGCTAAATCAATGTTGTGTCTAAAACAGGTACCTGATCTACTCAAAACAGCTTGTCATTCACGTGTACACGCTTAGCAAACACTGCGAAATGACCTGAATCTTGGAATTTCGTTCGAGAGCTAGTAATGTTTGCTCCGGTCTTCGTCATAAGTGTTGATCAGACTTCACGCATGCGCAGGAGAAAAACCATCAACCAATAACGTTTATAAATCAATTTTGCGCATGCGCCCTACAACGGTAAAGAAATTCGTATTTATAAACGAACCAGTTTGAGATAACCCGATATCAGTCGGAGAAATCTGACGATCTACGAAACTCACTTCAAAAAATCAAATGCGGACTGACGGCGTATTCTACTATGTTTGGATCTAAGATTTTCAGTATAAATAAAGTCTTTTATGATCTTTCGAATGAGGTAAGTCTCTAGTTCGAAAGACAATCGTATCAACTTGAACAAAAGTTGAGTTTTGACGAAAAATTTTAACATGCGCAGAAGTCTCATTTTCGTTGTACCATATTGACTGCATAAGGCAAATGTGACTGAGACTTTAGGGATCTGTTGAAATATTCCTTAACTCACTATAGATGTCCACGGCAGTAAAGGAAAGAAGATGCAGAAGAGAGGTGGAGGCGGTGGCTATGGTTACCAACAGGAAGGAAGGACACAACAAAAAGCTAAAATTTTCAAACAAGTTGACAAAAGGCGTAAAGAAAAAAGACAGTTTTCAAGATGATATCTTGTGGAATACTGATGTGGGAAGTCTTATTGAGAAAAATGTTGAAAAAATGAACTAAGTTATGAATTAGAAACGGCTCTAAGTATGATAACACTGTGTGTTACATATGTACTGTTCTGGGTGTATTGGAAAAATTAGAAACTGATTGAGGTCAGTTGATTCACATATTTTAACACAATTATGATACAAATAATTTTAAACTGCAATGAAAAATGAAATAAAAAACTTTATGCAAGGATCTTAATTGTTGATATTGATGATAGATGGCGTTGGTTTCAGTCTGTATGTCACCATATAAGGATTTTATTAGTACTGATGCCCTTTTAGGGCCAAACGTACATCCGATATACAATTTTCAATAACAGTAAATATAGCAATAAAGTAAAGAAAATAGGATTACATTCTTCAAATGACATATATAAAATGTTACTTTGATATAAGAATCCTGTCTCTATGTATTGTACAAATATTGCAATAGAAAAACAACTCTATTCCATAATGCAATAGAAAGACAACTCTATTCCATAATGCAATAGAAAGACAACTCTATTCCATAATGCAATAGAAAGACAACTCTATTCCATAATGCAATAGAAAGACAACTCTATTCCATAATGCAATAGAAAGATAAATTTATTCCATAAGGCAATAGAAAGACAACTCTATTCCTTGGGTTCTTGAGTTCTAAATCATAAAGGAAACTTAGGGGAGGCATCAAAAGTTCAATGTCTGATTGGAAACTAAGTAAAGAACAGGTCCATTTAACAGACTATTGGTCAACTTAGACTTTTTCCAAAAACTCATTCTTCCATTTACTTTCAAAACCGATTGCAAGTTGTAGATAAACCTTTTTTCTTGAGGTGTGCAATTTCAAAAAGTGGCATTAGTTTTCAGTTTCTTTGAAAAATTGGCAGTAAGAACCCCTATCACAAGGCTGTCTGAATATGGGTACACACTATGTTTACCATCAAAATAATATCAAAACTTATCATTACATAGAATTTATTATATGGAACATATGGCATAGAAGCATTCGGAGTACAACATTAAAAAGATCTAGCTATGTATGAAGTTTACCAATGCAAATCTGGAAAACATTGTCATTTTTGTTCACTTTGTTATCAAGTTTTAGCATGGTGCTCATTTCCTTTCGTTGAAAATTTAACCATCAGCCCATTCTCCCACAAAAAAGATATTGAAACTGTATAATGCAGAGACTGTAAAGTAGCTTCTCTGCAAATATCATTGTTGTGGGAGTGTGGGCTCACCACTAAAACTTAACTTTTGTGATGAAAATGAGGCTGACTGGTTTATGTTTTCAATATGGCTGCTAACCTGGGCATACATGTACACTACATAACTGCATGTACAGATTAGGGCATTCAAAATTAATTATATGTTGGAATTCTGATGAAGGGCCTTATATTAAAAACTACAAAACCTTTATTTATTTAAAGGGTTTTATATATTATTTAATAGTGAAAATGCAACAACACTTCGTGGAAAAGCAAGTAACACCTCTTGATTCAGATGACCTTGTGAATGAAGACAATACTAAAGCTTATATACATGTAGTTTTTAATCAATCTTGGAACTCATTTCAATACAATATAATTCATGATCACAATTCCCTCTGTCATTTATATGCATTACAAGTACATAGTACATGGGAACATTTTGTTTTTTTCTGAAAACAGAATTTAGTGACACTAATCATAAATTTTTTTTGAATGGCCTAAGTGTTTTTCTAAATAGGGAATAAGTAGAAATTATTTTAGGCAATCATTTGAGTGTCATGTCATTTATACATGATGCTGCTTTATATTTTATGATATTGAAATTCAAATATGGGAACTGCAAATTGGTAAATAACTTTAAAACAAAGTCTCCATACAGACATTTAATTTCAAATTCCAATGAAGATGCCAATGGGCATCTACATTGGAAATGCCCATGTCATGGGCATTTAAAATAATAATCACATCCCAATTCTTAAAACATGCTTCTATTAGGATACTGTTAAGAGTCTCAAAAAGCAACAAGAACATTCATTTTTGAAACAGGAAAATTTAGTCCCCCCAAAAATGCCCATAAGAGGATTTATTCTCAAGATTTTCATATAATTACTCGTGAGAATTTATTAAAAATATTTTTATTTTATTCACATGTCTTATTATCAGTCAAAATCAAAATGAAGCCAATTGCTTTCATTTCTTGTATTAGAAAACGGCAAAATTTTGACAAAAATAGCATCTTTCAAAGTTGACCTTTAAACCACCCTAATGTCAAGGTCAAATGTCTAAATTCTCAGAAATCACATTTTAAGTAATAGGTCATACTTCTTCAATTCCATGTCAATATATACTTGTTTTGTAGGGGGGCTAAAAGAGGGGTTTACCGCCACCTGTCCTTTGGTTGTGGGGGGGTTGGTTTACAAAACGTTAGTATGCACACTGGCGATTTAAGGTACCCGAGGAATTTGACTTCAAATTATATTAGATAACTTCGTTCATATTTCTGAGGAACAATTTATGCTCGTATTTCTGGATGTATTTCTGCCTCGTTGCTAGTTAAAGTGTGCGCCCGACCTGGCTACGTATATAACAGAGTTTATACTGGCGGATTAGACTAGTTCATTTTTTATATGTGTGTGAAAGCTTTCTCTTCTTTGCGTTTTTTTTCGTTTAGTACGGTTTTGTTATAATTGCCGAGATCATATAACCGGGATAAAACAATGATTATCGTTGACTGCGCACACACAAAACATTTACGTCGAGTGCAACATTGTTATTAAAAACAACAAGCTTTAGAATACAAAGCCCAGTAGTGTGATAATAAGCTGTACACTACCACTGCTGCATGTACACATATTAGGGCTCATAAAGAGTAGATAGGGAGGTTGTGTTTGTCACTTTTAAATTTTACATTTCAAAATTGCCATTTTACATGTCATAATTTCTTGGTTTCATTCGTTTAGCCGATCAAAACATTGTAAAACAATAAATCGTCTGTTACAGTTGGGGACAAAAATAAATGACAGGTCGATTTTCGATCACCATTTCCTAATTATGGTGGTCTGAAAGCCCATAATTTCCAATATTGTCTAGATACATATCCCTTAAAATTTGTATATTTTACATTTTGTATAATCTCATCCACTGATTTATGGCCTCTTGTAAATTCTCTTATTTTTAACATGGGAAATCCTCACTTCAGCAAATCCACCTGTCATTTATTTATGTCCCCAACTGTACGTATAATCAATTTTGTTCAGTTTTGATTAGTTGTCAGAATGAAGTTACGTTCATCTGAATCCATGTTTCAAAACAAAAATCATATTTTCTTCATATCAAAATACTTCATTGAGATGAATGCTCGGAATTGTCGTTTGCAATAACTTATTGTCGTATTCGTTCTTTTATCTACTCGATAGAAGAATTTAGTCGTACATTTGATGCCAGGTCACCTTCTCGCGTACCTCTTGGGGGGCCCCACATTTGTGTCTGTACTCATGGAAGTAAATTCCCCGGTGTAGCCGAGAGCCACAAACTTTCAACAGGTTCGAAATGGCCAATTTCTCTCATATTTGTATACTCATATTTTATTAATTATCACCTACAAAGTATTGCTAATAACTATATGTAATTTCAAAAAGGAAACTTATCTGGCTACATGTAAATTCAATATCAACACTATATGTTTGCTCAACACGTCCTGGCTTACCTTGTGATGACAAACCCTGGGTTTTCGCTATTTATAGTTTATCAACACCTGGACGCATGCGCATTTTATAGTTTATCAGGCACTTTAACAGATTTTGGAATATTTTTCGTCTCGTCGATTTTTCTCAGACAAATTTTATTTAAAATGAATAAATCCTCCGTTTTGGGTCTAAGTGAATCAGTAAAAATATTCTTGTGGCAGTTTTGACTATGGTGAACAACCGTTTTGCCCCACACGATGGCAGTTTATTTCTAACGCCACTCTAAACCACATGATAGTAGTTTTGCCCAACGCTACTCTACACCACATGATAGTAGTTTTGCCCAACGCTACTCTACACCACATGGTAGTAGTTTTGCCCAACGCTACTCTACACCACATGATAGTAGTTTTGCCCAACGCTTCTCTACACCACATTATAGTAGTTTTGCCCAACGCTGTTTTGCCCTACGCTACTCTACACCACATGGTAGTAGTTTTGCCCAACGCTACTCTACACCACATGATAGTAGTTTTGCCCAACGCTTCTCTACACCACATTATAGTAGTTTTGCCCAACGCTTCTCTGAACCATGTGATAGTAGTTTTGCCCTACGCTACTCTACACCACATGGTAGTAGTTTTGCCCAACGCTACTCTACACCACATGGTAGTAGTTTTGCCCTACGCTACTCTACACCACATGACAGTAGTTTTGCCCTACGCTGCTCACACCACTTGGTAGTAGTTTTGCACAACGCTGCTCTACACCACATTATAGTAGTTTTGCCCAACGCTTCTCTGAACCATGTGATAGTAGTTTTGCCCTACGCTACTCTACACCACATGGTAGTAGTTTTGCCAAACGCTACTCTACACCACATGGTAGTAGTTTTGCCCAACGCTACTCTACACCACATGACAGTAGTTTTGCCCTACGCTGCTCACACCACTTGGTAGTAGTTTTACACAACGCTGCTCTACACCACATTATAGTAGTTTTGCCCAACGCTTCTCGGAACCATGTGATAGTAGTTTTGCCCAACGCTACTCTACACCACATGGTAGTAGTTTTGCCCAACGCTACTCTACACCACATGGTAGTAGTTTTGCCCAACGCTACTCTACACCACATGACAGTAGTTTTGCCCTACGCTGCTCTACACCACATTATAGTAGTTTTGCCCAACGCTTCTCTGAACCATGTGATAGTAGTTTTGCCCAACACTACTCTTACAACCACCTTCTCATATGGATCGTCTTATATAGAGTGTACACTCCCCTTTATATGTGTATACAATGGAATCCTTAATTTGAATCAAAATTGTGTTCCTTAATTACGAGAAGTTCGGATTTTTAACAATTAACTAACTAACTCACTGTAAATAGTATTTGCGTCATGGGTGTGCACTAGGTGGGACCAGTTAAGCGCCAAAAAATATAGTATACCGTTGTGCAATTTTACCTATAGTCGATTCAAAACCGTACCTGGATTCTTTCCAAATTGTCAAGCTGATACAAGGGGCAACGGGTTCTTTTCTGGTTTCATTAGTGTATTAAGGTGGTAACTGGGAAGCAACATAGGACATCATGCAGGCGAGGCAACTACGTCACTGACATTATATGTTTTTGAGATATTGTTATGGAGATATGTTTCCTCGTCTCACAAGGAGGATTGGAAGCCAGGGTTCCAACTCGATATTCTTTAATCTCCACGCATGCGTCATTTGCTATTCGTGTCTGTATAATTTGTACGACTGCATGGAGAATGACCCGATACTCTCCAACAAAGCTATCGCTAGGTGATTGTTTTGCAGAATATCGGTGTTGCATTCTGGGAGCCAATCCTCCTTGCTCGTCTCATCTGGTTTGGTAATTTGAGACCACGTGGCGATACGCGCCAAATGAAAAGCGCAAGCCACGTGCTTTCTCAGTGGTCCCGCGTGGTTTCTCCAAATTCAAGATACACGTATTATATGGTCATGGAACAAAAAATTAAAAGGAAATAAAATTGTATTAAACTCAAAGTTACTTATATGGTTTGTCAATAGAATAACACGATGGAATATTACAATATCTAGTCAACTTAAACTGTGGACACTCGGTCAAATGTAGTCATGAATTACCCCCTCAATAGCCCAAAATCGCACTCATTACTTTTCCTCGCCTCATATCACCAGATCCTTGCTACGTTCCTGGTGGAGTTAATTGTACACTCACCATGCGCGACATTTTTGGTAAAAGTTAAACGATTAATGTAAATTTCCCCGTGTCCCATTCTATTATCTGAAAAGGAAATAGAGGAAGCATAACCCGGATAAACTTAAATTTCATGATCGAGGATATAGGATTGGGCCTGCACCAAATATTGCGAAACTGTGAACATTATTTTAAAAGTAACTTTAAACTCGTTGCTATGCTATACAGGTCATCTTCACAGGATCTGTAGCGTAAAATATTAAATATGCATTATACGGGAACTGCATATAGTTTGGTAACATGCTGGCACAGAAGCCGACAAATTGGCAAACATATGATGGTACATGGAGTTACCTAATAATTCAGCTACACATGAAGTATATATCTGTTTGTTGAAATTGCCTTCACTGTTTGATACATGTATAAATACTTCTGCCGCTATTGGTGACGTGTAGGCCTACATTGCCAATAACTGTATAAAATTTGTGAAATAGCGTCACAATTTGGTACACGCTGCTGTGAGTAGGACGCTGAGAAGTCGCATCGTCAACCCTAACCTGGTAAGTAAATTGCACTTTTAATTTATATAATAGATTGTAGTATTGAAATTGATAAATAATATAGGTATATTACTAGTGGATGTATTTTATGTAAATGTCTACTTTATGGGTAATATGGAATTTATATAAAATCAAGATGGCGGACACGAAACACGTGCTCTTCCTTTTTTAAAACAGGAATATTTGTGTCAGCTCAACTAGATTTGGGGTAACATGGTTCGCTTAGGCCCGGAAGACCGTTATATTAACGTGAATAGACTAGAATCGCAGGAAATTGAAATTCCAAAAGTTTTCCGAGTAATTGTAATTTAAGAAATACATGTTCTTCTCACTTTTTAGTCTCCATTTTTGTATGAGGTAATATTTCGAAAAAGAAACGCCCCTTCGTTTTAAATAATGTGTCTCAAGATAACTATCAATAAATATCGGCAAAACTGGTCACCGATTCGTTCAAGAATAATTCCTCGAAACATAAATATTTTTTCTTTATCATCACCTTTCTGATTCCTAATTATAGTCCACATTAATGATTCTGTATACACATCCGTTAAAAAGGTTAAGGGAATTGCAAAGTAAAATGGCCTAAAAAGCAAAAATGTGCCGGGGAAATGTATATCAGACCTCTGTAAAATATTTAATGAAAAGATTTGGAATAAACTAAATGGTCGATTTTAGAACTTTCGGTTGATAAATTTCTTGATTTCTGCCGGAATATGCAATATTTTATGTTTATTTAATTTTTTCACGATGAATTCATTAGTACATATTTAGTGTAATAAAACTAGCTTTTGCAATAATTTTTAAGAGGTGCGTCCAATACTCTAGTTACTAAGGACATCTTGTATATTCATGAGTAATTCACGCTAAAACCATGTGCTTAACCGTATGCGGTCAAAGATAAAATCATTTCGTCCCCTGTAAGAGTTGACTAGTGGCCAGCGACCTGCGAAGACCACAATTAACCAGACAATGTTAATCCAATGGGCCATCGTACAAAGGACGATTCTCGGTTTGGAGAACAGTCTCCTGAGCCAATAATTTTTTTCATGAAAAATATAGAAATATTACCCAAATTAAACTATGAATATTCAAAAGAGGACATTTAAATCTACAAGATGTAAAAATAACAAATTTGTCTGAAGCAGGGATAATGCTCGATTAGACCGATTCAATAAAATACAAGTCTCGATTTGGGGAAAGAAGTTCATCAGTGTACTGCGCTAATATTTTTTTGCGAAAAGTCTAGAAATATTACCCAAATTAAAGTATGACTATTCAAAAGAAAACATTCAAATCTATATTATGTAAAAATATCAAATTTGTCCGAAGCAGGGATGATGCTCATTTAGATTGATGAACTTCGTTCTCCAAACCGAGAATCGTCCTTTGAACTGATATATTTCTCAATCCAAGATTTCAGAAAATCAACCACGTATAGCCTACTTTCTTTTAGAGGAATATGTCCCCTAAAAAAAAATAAAATTTGAAATAGATGGAGTCATAAAAATCAAAAGTTCTGACCTGCTGTTCCCGCCATCTATTAAAACCTCTGGCGTATGAGTCTGGCAAACAGCACATTTCATATTGGTCTTATATTCTTAAAACATGTTTATTCTTAATTAATGATTATTTTTATAGTTTATTTATTTATTAATAGTGGTCAGTCTTACAATTCAATAACAAAAAATAAAAAAATTAATTACAATTTTACCCAGCCCACCTTGGGCACTGTTAACGATAGGAAATGCAAGATTAATACACGAAAATCAATATCACATGTTGTAAGTGAATTGCCTTCTCCGCACAAAAGCCATCTTAATTAATTTAACAATTTTACAGGTATGTTCCCAAAAAATTATTTTAAAAATAAATTTTGCTACCTTCATTATCAAAATCTTTCAAATTTACCTCATCAAAGTATGTTTTTCTCAGATCATCATCTTTTGCAATGGAATAGAAAATGTATTTCTGTTTCAACTGAGTTATCCTTCCATAGTGTACATAATCTTTCTTCCACATGTTCGCTCTTAAATCTGCCTGTCTTTAGCCTAAGTGGCAAAATACCTAGTCTAAACTAAAAAATTCAATGTTAGATACTTATCTACTTCATACACTTTTTAAAGGTTACATAAGTGCGCAATTTTGGCTTAGCCTTTATTGCTACTTCCCATGCAGGCACATACATTTAGTTTTCCATTAAGATGTTTCTAACATTTTAAGGTTGACAACTAGTTCAGTCAATAAAATCCTGTTCCGTATCTACTGATATAAGAATACATGTATTTCTGACATGATTGTCTAATCCATACTGAATCCCTTGATTTGCTCCATAAAAATATTTTCTTTGTGATTCGATATGCGCGATCATTGTCTAAACTTAGAAACCTATTCCAAAGTTTAGTTATTTCTACTTTATGTATTAGTTCAGGAGGTAGCCACCCAACATCTCCATATATTCCCATGATGGGTGCAAATCGATGAACTCCTAAAAAGTACCTTTGTGCCCGATTATGATTATGAATATTATTACAGATACCATGAACTTTTTTGTCAAATCCCCAAACTCCTACTCCATAACCTAGTATCGGTAATACACATGTATTATATAATTTTGTGTACAGTAGGTTTTATAACCAAACTCATTCGACATTTTGCATCGTTGAATCACATAGCCTAGTGCTCGACCAGCGGAGTCAGCCAAAGCTGTGGCTGTCTTTATAAAGCTGCCATGTTCATTAAAAATAACACCAAGATACTTGTAATTTTTAACAATTTTTAAAAACTGGTTCCCAAGTTTAAAGTCGAACGATAGTTTAACAGTTTGTGCCTAAAATGTTTATAATGTTTGACTTATCAATGTTTATACAGAGCCGCCACTTTTTACACCAGTTATACACAATATCTTGTACATTTACCTCTGAGCAAAATATAGTACATACCTAACATGTCAATAATTCAACATGCATCACTACCAAATTTTCATTTAAGATGGCGCTGCTACAGAGTACTTTCAGGAACTATTTACGAAAAATAATTGTAATTAGGTCCCTGGAAAAGTGAATTGAGGGCGGCACAGTAATCCCCGGGGGTCGAAATATTGCACGCTCACGTATAGGTTAAATAGACAAAGAAAAGGGAAATACTCTCTATAGGACTAAAGTTCTTATTTCGATAAATAAATTCTGTGATTATCACGTTCCTATATGTATGGGCCTACTCGAATTTATCAAAAATATCGAAATTTTTTATATACATTCAAAAGCTATAAAGTGTTTATATTACTACTCTAACGTAAACATTGATATTTAATATCCTGGAAAAGCATTCTACTTCGTAATGTCGTATACAATTATACTCCATTTTTACAAAAAGTTGCAATATTAATTACTTGTTTCTTGATTACATTTTTCTAGAAATAACCCAAAAGCAAAAAAAAACTGAAAACAAGATGCCTCCAAAGGAAAAGGATAAGACCCATATCAACGTTGTCGTTGTTGGGCACGTCGATTCGGGGAAGTCTACCTCTACCGGACATTTAATCTATAAATGTGGCGGCATCGACAAGCGAACCATCGAAAAATTCGAGAAGGAGGCTCAAGAGGTAAGAATATACACGTAGTACACATAAAGTGATGACGCAATTAAAAGTCCATACACATTATGCCATGAGATGCAACTTCCCATATTTCATATATAAATGTTGTCTTTGGTTTCTAAAATTTGAGAAAAACGCTTCATACATTACACATTTAAAGAATTTTTTTGTATTCATCAGTTTTCAAGTGTCCGTTACGAAGTATAAAAAAATGCTATAAGCTTAGCTTATATGCATCTTTTAGAATTTGGTCTCATCTGAGTTTGATAGTAAATTTTCAATTCGTTAATAATGAGAAATGCATTATATTGAAATGAAAGCATTTTCTGCAAATTTACGACTTGGTGTACAGGTATACAGGGTGGGCCAAAAAAACGCCACTTTTTTTCAAGACACTATAACTTTTTTATTTTCCAACCTACATACCCCAAATTTTGCAGTTATATAGTGCCAAGGGTTCTTAGTAATAATATAATGTAGCAAGTCCTTCAACTGGGATTATATTTGATCTAAAAAGAGGACTTCAATTGGTCCGCCACCCAATTTGATGATAGATTTTAGTTTTAGTCACCTTGCTGATATAGCAGAATCAATGAAATGTTAGCTATATTTTTTCAACGTGTCTTAATTGCCAGCTTTAGTTAAGCAATTTTTTAGATTGGGTGCCTTCATACCATACCTCCCCATACCCTATACTTACCTGGGTTTGAATTAGGGCTATTAGCTTGCGGTCATCAGGGTGTATCAGTTTAGGAACATTATGCAAATTATGCTTATTTCTCATGGCACACCACATGTTTAAGTTAGACGCTGGTGACATATTTTATTCAAGTAAAAGTGTATAATTCATGATCAATGGCTAGATAACAACCTCAAGTTTCATTTGGTATGTAAATTATGATTTTGTATCAAAAATTAAAAAAGTTATAGCATTTAGAAAAAAGTGGCGTTTTTTTGGCCCACCCTGTATATATACATGTATGGATAAAAAAAGTTGGCAAATTTCAAACATAAATAGCCATTACCACGCGGTGCCAAACATTTGGAGGGGTGTAAATTCGTTGTTGTTTTTTATTTCAGATGGGCAAAGGTTCATTCAAGTATGCCTGGGTATTGGACAAACTGAAGGCCGAGCGTGAACGTGGAATCACCATTGACATCGCTTTGTGGAAGTTTGAGACAAAAAAGTATTTGGTCACTGTCATTGACGCACCTGGTCATCGTGATTTCATCAAGAATATGATTACGGGAACATCACAGGTGCAGATTTTATATATCCTCTAGATCCAAAAAGTGGGCCCAAATTCTGAAAATTAAGGCCAATTTTCTCGATAATTTCGCCTAAAATTAAAAAGGCCCAGTAACGCCCAAAAGGCCTATTAATTGGGAGCCTAAAACTTTTAAAAGTTTGGGCCAAACATTTTTTGAGGCACACATTTCTCTTTCTGAGCCCATCGCAGAGGGAGCCCCCCAGATCTGCAAATGAGACGCTATGCGTATATTTAATGTAAAAACGCACACAAAACATGAAAAATGCAACACTATCTCATGGATATTAATATCCTCAATCATTCGCTGCACTTGGTCGTAAAGATATCCACTCGTGGATCTAAATGGCGTTTTTCAAATCCATATGATATTCCTATTATATTTTGAAATGGTTAATTCGATTAAAATCATATAGTGTTCCTAAACCAGGAAGAAAAAATCTGATTATGGAACACTATATATATCCCGAAACATATTTATGAATATATATTATGAATCCGAACATTCCTTGAACCTAATGTCAGAACATCTACCTCTTAATGTGAATACGTGTTTAATCAATCCCAAAAATCGGGCCAAATGTGTTTCCCACTGGCTCTTAGGAGAAATAATGGCCCCGGTGTAAAAGAAATTATGGTCCCCTGGGGATTATGGTCCCCTTTCTTAAAGGCCATTACTGGCCCTGATTGTGGATACGATAATAAGGGAAAGAGTTGTATTTAGGTCACCATATAAATCAATGGAAAGTAGGACCATAATTTGATAGGACCTCCTACCCTTTTACACCGGGACTACGGCCCTCGGCCATTATTTCACCTAACAGTCTGGTATCCCCACCCTAAGTCAATAGTCAATGGTGAATGTCCCATTTTGAGTCAATTCACCCTTGCTAAAATTCTCATTTTCTCAGAAGAACTCAAGTTGATCTAGTCTCAACAAGTATATTCATGTGGGATAGTATTGCTACTTACAAGTAGAATACAAGTAGAATCCGTTTTCCAACGTTAGAATAGGGGATCTTAAACAGGACATTGGGCTTGCTTTTCTGAACTTTTTGTTGGTACTATTACATAACATTTACAGGCTATTATGTGTTGTGTTTATTTCCAGGCCGACTGTGCGATATTAATAGTGGCTTCCAGCACTGGCGAGTTTGAAGCCGGCATTTCCAAAAATGGGCAGACACGAGAACACGCTCTGCTTTGCTATACCCTTGGTGTAAAACAGATGATCCTCTGCGCCAATAAAATAGACAACACAGAACCTCCTTATTCCGAGAAACGATTCAAAGAAATCGCAAAAGAATGTAGCGCCTACGTCAAAAAGGTCGGCTACAATCCAAAGTCAGTAGCATATATCCCAATATCAGGATTTCATGGAGATAACATGATCGAGGAGAGCCCGAATATGAAGTGGTTTAAAGGATGGACGACCGAAACCCTGGATAAAGATAAAAATACTATCACTCGATCTGGTATGTTTAATTTTTTGGCATGGTGGAATTTTGCAGGTTGAAATATGTGCTGATTAAAGATTCGATCTTTTCTCCCGGGTTCATTCTCAGTCGCTAAGGCATGTCCTAAGTTGTCACTAACACATTTCCAAGTTGTCACTAACACATTTCCAAGTTATTTCGTGCTAGAAGCAATTCAAAAGATGAAACACTTTCAGAGAGGCAATATTACAAGGAAATCGGACTACTTTTATTGACTGAGATGTTGTTTTCTCATTAAAAATGTAAAATAATCTTAACCTCTTGACTACCTGGAGTGACGAGATTTCTCGTCACCTCATAAATGACCTTAAAACCCAGAGTGACGAGAAAATCTGTCACAAAGATTTTCACTAAAACTGCTCTCATTTAAACAATTTTCATCCAATTGAAACAAAAGTTGTTTTTAAATGTGTAGAAATGTTCCTCGTCGTTTAATTTTACTAAGTTGAGTATCTCAAGTTATATAGCATGTAGTAAAATGTCAAATGGTGGCAAAAATGAAAAATTCTCTGGTTTCAACCGATTTTAGAGCCTGGGATTCAAGAGGTTAAGAATACCCCCTATGTTACTTTGACCTACTTTTGACTTCATTTGACGTACTTTTTGAGTTTTTAGATTTCAATACACCTCCCTTATGGTATAATAGTTTTTACTGTATCTCTTCAACTCTGAAAACTCTGGATCCACCCCGCCCGTTAGTGTTATGAAAAATAGGCTACGTTGCCCACATTAGAGTCAAGGCTCAAATTGTACGTATAGTTGGGCTCTTATGGGAGAAGATAACACCTGAAACATAGATAGGCAGAAAGCCAATAGGACTGGGCCCCTTCAACAAAAAATGAGCCAAAAAGGGCTACTCTAGGTTTGGAGAACGAAGTTAGTCACTCTAAATTGAGCGTTATCTCTGCTTCGGAATCGTCTGATTTTTTACATAATATAGATTTGAATGTCTTCTTCATAATTTAATTTTGGGTGATATTTCTAGATTTTTCATGAAAAATTATAAGCGCTGTACACTGATGAACTTCTTTCTCCAGATTGAGACTTGTATTTTATTGAATCGGTCTACTGCAACGTTATCCCTGCTTCGGACAATTATGATATTTTTACATCTTGTAGATTTAAATGTCCTCTTTTGAATATTCATAATTTAATTTGGGTGATATTTCTATATTTTTCATAAAAAATTATTAGGCTTGGAGACGGATCTCGGATTGCACGGGCAAGAACAAGGCTCGAAAATTACGAGCTATTACGGGCCTCGTAACAGGCACCATACGAGCAAGTACGGGGATCGAAAATTAAGCTTTATTACGGGGCTCGTTACGGGCACCGTACGGTCAAGTACGGGGTTCGAAAATTACGGGCTATAACGGGCCTTGTAATTACAAACTCTTACGAGGCTCGAAAATTACAAGCAATTACGGGACTCCTAACGAGGCCCGTACGAGGTTGTACGAGGTTGTGCGTTGACCCAACGAGCTCCAATTTGCCAGTGTAGTGAACAGAAGCCCCCCCCCTTATGTTACTATAGGTTATACCAAGTGCGGAAAGAAGTTTGAAAAAAGAAAAATAGAGTAATAATGAAGCATGAAGATAAGACTTTAAGGAAACGTATGAATTTTTCTCACTTTAACTGGCTTATTATCGGTCGGATAATGAAACAAATTGGAGATGTTGCTCAAAATATAGAATTGATCCATGCTTCGCCTGTCGTGAGTGAATAGGCAGATTTAAAGGATGTCGTAATAACGAATTCAAATGCCGCCATTTTGAATATTTTTCCGCTTCAGATTTTGAATTGCCAGATATGGTCTTATTTCCAAAACAAAGAATTAAAAAAACATAAGATTTATAGCCAGTTGTAATCTCAGTGAAAATGACATCTCAGGGCGGAGCCAGATTTTTCTGATTCGAGATGCCTAACCTGGAGCATTCTATAGATTATATGGAGAACTCCCCATTATCCGTGCAACAGTGGCCCCAGCATTAACACCCAGCCCCTCATTGGAACCGGTTAACAACCGGAAGTTCAATTTTCGATCCCGCGTTCAATGCACTTTTTGTTTCGAGGTTTTAACTTTACGAAAGCAATGAATTCTCGATTTTTACATATGATTTAACCACAAACAAGCTGCATCGAATGTAATTGAATTCATGTTGCTTAACTCATCGAGGAAGTACAAGTCCTAATCCATCTTATGTGTTCTCTTTGCTTATAGGAAAGACTCTATACGAGGCTATTGACAACATACAAGCCCCCGAGCGTCCAAAATCTAAACCACTCCGCCTCCCTCTTCAAGATGTTTATAAGATAGGTGGCATTGGAACGGTACCAGTTGGTCGTGTCGAGACTGGAATTTTGAAGCCTGGAATGATCGTGACTTTTGCTCCCGCTAATATCAGCACTGAGGTTAAATCCGTCGAGATGCATCATGAAGCTCTTGACGAGGCCCTCCCTGGCGATAATGTCGGGTTCAACGTTAAGAATGTGTCTGTCAAAGATATAAAGAGAGGAAATGTTGCAGGTGACTCCAAAAACGATCCCCCTTTAGAAGCAAAAAATTTCACTGCGCAGGTACGTACACACAAATTTATGACGTTAAAACTGATTTGTGTATCAGTATATCAACTTAATTCCTTAGCAACTATATCATATATGAAATATGTTCAAATTTTGTAATTAAAGGTGATTATATTGAACCACCCAGGAGAAATCCACAATGGATACCAACCAGTGCTTGATTGCCACACAGCACACATCGCTTGTAAATTCACCGAGATTAAACAGAAGATCGATCGTCGAACGGGGAAGGTGCTTGAAGAAAACCCCAAAATGGTTAAAAGCGGAGATGCCTCCATGATTGTCTTGACTCCTAGCAAGCCAATGGTCGTCGAGCCGTTCACTGATTATGCACCACTTGGTCGTTTCGCCGTGCGTGACATGAGACAAACCGTCGCTGTTGGTGTCATCAAGAGTGTTACAAAGGCTGAAGGGACAAAAGGGAAAGTCACAAAATCCGCTCAGAAAGCTTCGGGCAAAAGTTGATCATTGACATTCCCTCATTGTGCTCCTGATCCGGAGCAACATCAGGCCCGTAGCCAGGGGTTGGGGTTGATAGGTTCGAGCGACCCCCCCCCCCCACCTGGCCAAAATTTCTTTCAAAATCATGCAGTTTTTTCACCATTCTGAGCACTTTTTAAGTGATTTTGGCCATTTTGGACCAAAATTGTCAAAAGTGAACCCCCCTGGATTTTTTCTAAAAAGTAAACCCCCTTGGCAAATCCTGCCTACGGGCCTGACCATTGTGGCTTTTATTTCAGTGCATGTGCTTTCAGAATGCTATTGTGCCTTGAGTTCAAAAGCTGCCGATATTAGTAAATGATTTCTGTTATACAAGGATAACATACAGTTTAAACTTAGACATGAAATACTAACATGTTTTTTTTAAATAACACTTTGAATTGTTGCGTTGGAAAAGTATCATGTAAACATAGAAAATAAAACTGGATCATTTTAATAAAACGTTAATTAATGTTTTGTTTAATTAAAGTTATCTCAATCTCAATGAATTTTTCAGGCGTAAAATGAAGATAACAATGTTTAATAGTCCTTTTAAGTGTTTAGACAAACGCAATGTCAATGTCATTAGTATTGTGATAATAACGTCCCAATATACCTATTTATTACAGGTCGTGTAGACCATTGTTGCCCGATTTATAACAAAAACATGGACTTTTGCACGTTGGTGATGATGCGCCTTTTCTAATAGATCTCAAATCTTAGAAGAGTATCAGTTCAAATAAACTAGATGACCTCACATATTTTGCCATAAACTGCGCCTATTTATTTGGCAATTAAGTTGTAAAAGACCACGTGCAGTATGGCAAGTGATTTTAGACGGTCATACCTTTCACCATGAGTACTTTCTTGACATGATTACAGTGGTTGTAAAACAATATGTTTTCTTACAAGTGAAGTACCCATGATGATTAAAATATCAATCGAACAATTCGAAAAATTATGAATACGGACCCCATGTCAACATTTTCTCAAAATATTGAACCTATTTACTCAAAAGAGGATCTCTCTTTTCTGAATTTTATTGCATGAAAAGATTATTTAACAAGGGGTCTAAAACATTTTCAAAAATATAATTGTATTGAAAGTCTAGTTTTGAAGATATAAATTTTCGATGACCAAAATTATGCTGAAAACAATTGATGGCACGAGTTTTCCCTATGGGAAAATAACGTGGGATATGTGTTTTTAGCTCACATGGTGAGCTTTTGCAATCGCTCACTTGTCCGTCTGTCTGTCCGTCCGTCCGTCCGTCTGTCCGTCCGTCCGTCTGTCCGTCCGTCTGTCTGTCCGTCCGTCAACAATAGTGGCACGTTTTAAAACCTCTGTCGATAGGATTCCTGTTTTAAGTTATTTATGTTCAACATCAATACAGAAAACTCCCCTATGACTCCTGGTTCAAAAGCTCGCCTATTTTCAAAATGGCCACCATTTTTGTCTCGCGAAATTCACTTTTGATTGGCACGTTTTAAAACCTCTGTCGATAGGATTCCTGTTTTAAGTTATTTCTGTTCAACATCAATACAGAAAACTCCCCTATGACTCCTGGTTCAAAAGCTCGCTTATTTTCAAAATGGCCGCCATTTTTGTCTCGCAAAATTCACTTTTGACCCATTTCCTAGCTTTACAAATAATTTCAGGTGTCCTACATTGTAAAAATCTGTGTCAATGTAAAGAGTAGATATATGAAATAATTTTGTTACAAAAAATCAGCGAAAAATTATATCTATTTTTTTTATTTTCAGCCATTTTAGTTAACATTGATTTGTCCATCTGACTTGTGAAATCCACTTTTCCGTCAACAACAGTGGCACGTTTTAAAACCTCTGTCGATAGGATTCCTGTTTTAAGTTATTTCTGTTCAACATCAATACAGAAAACTCCCCTATGACTCCTGGCTCAAAAGCTCGCCTATTTTCAAAATGGCCGCCATTTTTGTCTCGCGAAATTCACTTTTGACCTATTTCCTAGCTTTACAAATAATTTCAAGTGTCCTAGATTGTAAAAATCCATGTCAATGTAAAGAGTAGATGTATGAAATAATTTTGTTAAGAAAAATCAGCAAAAAATTATATCCATTTTTTTTATTTTCAGCCATTTTATAGTTAACATTGATTTGTCCATCTGTCTCGCAAAATCCACTTTTGGACCATTTGCCTTAAACCCTCTGTCGATAGGATTCCCGTTTTAAGTTAATTTTGTTCAACATAAATACAAAAAACTCTCCTGTGACTCTTGGTTCAAAAGCTCGCCTATTTTCAAGATGGCCGCCATTCTTGTCTCGCAAAATTCACTTTTGGCCCATTTCCTAGCTTTACAAATAATTTCAGCCGTCCTGCATTGTAGAAAGCCATATCAATGTAAAGAGTAGTTGTATGAAATAATTTTGTTATAAAAAATCGGCAAAATATTATATCCGTTTTTTTTATTTTCAGCCATTTTAGTTAACATTGATTTGTCCATCTGTCTCGCGAAATCCTTTTTTGGACCATTTGCTTAAAACCTCTGTCGATAGGATTCCAGTTTCAAGTTATTTTTGTTCAACATCAATACAAAAAACTCCCCTATGACTCCTGGTTCAAAAGCTTGCCTATTTTCAAAATGGTCGCCATTTTTGTCTCGCGAAATTTCTCGTGAAATAATTTTGTTACTAATAATTGGCAAAAAATTATACCCGTTTCTTTTCAGCCATTTTACTTAACATCGATTTGTCCATCTGTCTCTCAGTCAGTCCAAAATAGTAGCAAGTGACTTGAAATAATTTTGCAAAAATCAGCAAAACATTATATCCGTTTTTTTTTATTTTCTGTTATTTTAGCCATCATTCACTTCACTTTTGAGCAACACCATGTGAGCCCAGTACCCACGGTACTAATTTTTATTTAACTTTAACGCACCTTCTTTTCAGTAATTGTTCATATAGTGTAGACGAAACTTTTGATATGTTTAAATTGAGAAATGCAAGATCCTCTTTTTAGAAAATAAGCCTAACTTTTTTTTTTAAAGTGTCAGGGTGGGGCCCTAATTCATAATTTTTGGATTGATATTTTTATCATCATGAGTACTTCATTTGAAGGAAAACATATTGTTTTAATAAAAACCACTGTATTTATACCCAGAAAGTACTCGTATGACCGTCTAAAATCACTTGCCATACTGCACGTGGTCTTTTTCTCTCGAAAAAATAAATCTTCCAAAGGAGTGGTATCGATATGGTGAACTGAATTCAACAATGTTTTTCTCTTTAACCAATCATTAAAAACATTCTGTAAAAACATGTTATTTTATGTAATGTTGACCGATTGACAACAATTTAATGCGAAAATTATTTAGAAATATTTTATATAACTGTTTTTGTTAACATTTTTTGTTTTTTTAGTGCAATTGTTTTTGCTCCTTTCTACCAATTCTTGAGAATGAAATAAAATGTCTTTCCGAACCTTGTTTGAAGTAATAGCATATACAACATGTTTTTAGACCTCTCAATATTATAGTTATACAAAGGAATTTTTGGTTGCTTTTAAAAAAAGTATTCAAAAAATTAAAACAAAATCCCTCCAAAATGGATAGAAATCAAGATAAACCTTTTATTTCATTAACAAAATACTTTTTTGAAATCAACCAAAATTTCCTTTGTACAATTACAATATTGAGAGACCTAAACATGTTGTGTTTATGTCGTTTTGTTCCAATGAGGTTCGGAAAGATGTTTCATTTCACTCTGGAAACATGATACCAAGAACAAAACAAGTGTTTGATGTGTTTTCTAAAGCAATATAGATGAAAGTATATATATATTTTTCAAATTATATTGTTACCATTCAAAAGATGGCCATTAAATTGACGATGTGTTAAATCTTTAGATTTTTCTTATGACTGGTTTAAGAGAAACGTGTGTACAAAAAGTTCTCCATATCGATACCACTCCTTTTTTGAGTTTTCTTGCAGAAATCGCCTAATCCCCCCTCCATCCATTTTGTACGATCACCGGTCTTGATTGTGCCGTTTTCCAATATCTGCCAGTGTTGCCAACTGTAAAGCACATCATCTAGGTATATTTGCCAACTGTACAGCACATCATCTAGGTATATTTGCCAACTGTACAGCACATCATCTAGGTATACTTGCCAACTGTAAAGCACATCATCTAGGTATACTTGCCAACTGTAAAGCACATCATCAATGAGTTCAACTCAAGTGCCCAATTGTCAGGTTGATCACCTGATATAACCTGATAATATAATTTCAAACATCTTGGCAAAAACATGATGAATTATCGTGTAATTGTGAATATCTTGTGTAAATCGTTTCAACTTGGTATACGTTGCTTTGAGCAGGACGCCGAGAAGTCACATCGTACTTGATAGGTATATTACAACTACTCTAATTTATATCATACGTTTTTTGGTATTGATAATGATAAATAATATAGGTCTTTAACTAGTGGATGTGTTACATGCAAATGACTATTTTATGGGTTATTGATATAGAATTTACATAAAATCGAAATGGCGGACGCAAAACGAGTGCCCGCAAAACGAGTGCCCTTCCCTTCTAACAGAGACAGAAACATTTTTGTTAAGTCAACTTAATTTCGGGTACGGCAATTACATTGACGTACATATGCTTGCACTAAAATCTTGGGAGATTTTCCGAGTAATTGTACTGAAAATAAATAAGTTTTCGAGATCATCATTAGTAAATATCAGCGAAATTCAAGAATAATTCCTCGGAAAAAACTTTTTCACCATTTTACATGCATATGATTTGTAATTAAGTATACATTGATTTCCCTATATATCTATCTATTAAAACACGAAAAAAACTTCTGAGCTCATAATGGGAGTTATAAGATGCAACGCAGCCGAAGTTGTACACATTAAGAAGATGGCCAAATTTGCTTAAAGGAACCAATCAAATTCCCTGAATTAAGGTTAAAGGTCAGATCTACGGCCATCTCCGGTTATGATCGTAAATTGATTGAAAAACAGCCTGTTGATAACTGACTGGCTCAAAAGTTCAAATCACGTCGTTCCCTATCAGAGTTGGCCATTGACCAGCGAAGTAGGACGTGTACAGTGTACAATTATTGACCGTTGTGTTGTGAACCGTAATCGCAGGTCAATGTTTAGTACATTGACATAACATTGACAATCGCCCGAATGGATAGATGTCTAATAGTTTTTTCAGATCCAAGTAATTACTAATTGTTATATGACATCGTCCGATGAATTAATTCGAACACTAGTATTCATCGGCATCAAGTATAGATACAGTGGTTTTATTAAAACAATGTTTTCTTTCAAGTGAAGTCCCCATGACAATAAAAATATCAACCAACTGTCTCAAAAAGTATGGATTAGGACCCCATGTTGGATTTAGTGTTTCTCAATATAAATATATCAAGAATTTATTCTATTCTATATTACCAACTTCTGAAAGTGGAGTGGGGATTCAAATGCGATATAGTAAAAAATCACATACCTTATGTTATTTTCTCATAGGGAAAATTCATGCTATCAATTGTTTTCAGCATAACTTTGGTCATTGAAAATTGATATCTTCAAAACTATACTTTCAATCGGTTCTACTTTTGCAGAAGTGCTAGACCCCGTGTTGAATAATTTTTCATGCAATGAAAATTAGAAAGAGAAGATCATCTTTTGAGTATACGAGGGGTGATTCAAAAGTAATGGACAAAATTTTATAGGCATACTAAATTTCACCCAATCAGTCTAATTTTTTCACAGTGAATAGATCAATCAATTCTCTACTTTGTGTCGAATTCTCATTTAAATGCATTTGAAATTGTTTCAGCTATGCGTAACCATGGTAACAAGGGTAAGCATGGGTGGAATTGGTTTTTTAATGATAATTGAATGTTTTTGTCATTTTTGCTTGATTTCGTTTTAATGACTCAATTACCACACATGATATGTCAAACAAGCATGGTAATGCAATTGTCAAGCAAGACTCACATGCCCATGTGTTTGCTGTTGAGTTCTAAATTCAGCAACCAATTGTGCTATGACATCACAATGATATTTCTAAGAATGATGAGTCACAGTGAGTCAGAAAGTAGATCAGACTCTTAGACTCACACACATCCAAGAAATGTCTACTTTACAACAAATCAAAGTTAAGCAAAGGATTGTTATTGAATATTTGGTAGCTACTGGAGAGACAAGGCAGGCAGTTGTCAAGAAAATAAAAGAGACACATGGAGACAAGGCCTTGTCAAGGCAAGCCATTGAGCGATGGTACAAACACTTTAGTGAAGGGGATACGAGAATCTTAGATCTAAAGCGATCTGGAAGGCCCAAGACTGGCCGCACTGATAACACTATTCACCATGTAGAGTCCATCCTAAATGCAGACAGGAGATTGACACTGAGAGAAATAAGTTCCATTACCAGATTACAGATGTGTCCTACTCTACAGTACAAAGGATTGTAAAATGCGACCTAAATATGAAAAGGGTGTGTGCCAAGTGGATTCCTAAGCTTCTTACCGAAGAACAAAAGCAAACTTTTCATTGAAAATCCATTTGTTATTATGATGAAAATAGCCTTAAAATGGATTCCGGGTGTATGCACCATGATCCAAGAGAAGTGCTCTATCTCAAAATGTATTTGCATTTAGTTAATAAAATTTTAACATCTAATAGATAATTGATTAATCCTTATTTGTACAAAGTTTCATTCAAATCTGGTAAAGGTAAGCGTGCCTATAAAATTTTGTCCATTACTTTTGAATCACCCCTCGTATATGATCAACATTTTGAAAATATGTTGACATGGGTCCCTTTTCATAATTTTTCGAATTGTTTGTATTATCCTTGAGAATTTTCTTGAGAGATTACATATTGTGTTATCGGAAATGTCATATTTAAATTGAGAAAGTGCTAATGCTGAAAGATATAACCGTCTAAAATCACCTGCCATACTAAACCTGGTCCTTTCACCTTTGATTGGCTATGGTAAGGAACTAAAAATGGTCAGTGATTGTCTAACAGTGTCTGACCAGCAGGCTTCTGTGCGAATGATTTTTATATTAGGCCAAATTTGAAACGAACAACTTGGCTGGATTGTTAACAAATGCAGTTAAGCTACACATTTTTTGAATAACTCGAACATGATAAAGCACTAACGTACCTTCCGTAACTTTTTGTGTGCAATTTATATAATGAATTAAGAAATATATTTTCCAAGTAAGTTCTCATTTTGAACGTTTAGCTAGATATAGAATGACATTCTTCTTAAGATTCGTTCTCGCCTTCGAAGTATTCATTTTCCGATGTACTACTTTGAGAATTTAGGTATAAGGAATGATTTTGAAACTAGGTTCCTAGAAAAAGCAATTGAAATCGAACAGCAAACCCCGGGGCACATAAAATTACAGTTCACGTTCATGATGACACGTGTCTCCAGACAGGTTTTTAATCTTATATTTTTAAAAGCTATTACACAATTTTAAATCACATATATATAGCGAGGCAAGGCTTGTCCGATTCCAGCCAATCAGAACACGCTATTTCACGTAACTGCATACCGTTATATAACCAATAACAAATTCAAGGACTCATATCAGAAGTTAAATGGTTGTCAAGGTGATGTCTGCACTCTACAGATTAAAATTGATACTTTGCCATATTGACCCTTGCAAAAAGTTTCATTGAAACTATGTTCTTTGCTGATTTTGTATCTTTTAGAGTTTCTGTAGAACACATCTTTCACCCCGTGTACATTACATAACTTTCATTATCCTATGCCAAGTAGAGTTTTAGGGAGATAAGTTGGTAAGATATATCCCGTATCCTGATTTTGAGGTTTCCATATCCAGAACCTCCATATCTCCCGCCATATCTCCCGCTTCGGTGCATATCTTCCCACTTTCGGTAATTTCACTTCACATTTAAAAAAAAAAAATTTTAAATCTTTTTTCAAAATTTAAAAAAAAAATTTAATTTTTTTTCAAATTATTTTCAAATTCTATTTTTTAATTTTACTTTTTTTACATTTTTTGAAAATCTCGCAAACTTTAAGACCAAGAAAACGCGTCCCTTAAGTATATTTTGGAATTTTGGATCTTTATAAGGTATGATGTACCTAGAACCTCAGTAGGTATGAAATACATCTGCTATGCACGGTCGGTTTTGGATACATTTATCTTTCTGTTACATTGTTAAACAACACTTTTGTATTTCAAAAAGTTATCAATGTATTTAAAATTTAAAAGTGGAAATGCAATAAAATGACTTTGCATGTGAATGATTTGTTTATTTTTACACCTTGTACTATTGAAATGGCCATATGCCCCTGAAAACTCTACTTGGTATAGGATAAAGCAGTTATGTACGGTCGGTTCGGATATTTGGTTCATCCCTCGTGAGATATGCACATCTACCTTCGGTCCCTACGGTCCCTCAGGTAGATATGCATATCTCCCTCTGGATAAACCCCATATCCAAGACCTCCCAGTACATAACCCTTATGTATTCCATACCTACTAAGGTTCTAGGTAAATAACGAGCGGGAATATATACTGTATCTAGGGCACTGGTGATCCACTCGATTACGCTGGTTACCGAAACGGTTCGTTTTGGTAACAAAATGTCGGAACATCGAAGGTATGATTTTTCTTTTTTCCTTATTTCACACGTTGTAGGCAGAATTTCCTCGACATTTTATCACAAACGTGTATCAGTATCATATGTGTAAGAAAATGTACATATTTGCGAACAAATAGTTCAGAAGACAACAGAATCGTCGATTTAATTCCTCACTTAAGTTACATAAACGGTATTTCGAAAAACAGTTAAGATCTGCACGTTTAACCCAAACGGAGGAGCGGGGCGGGATGGATACAGCCTGTATCCATCCTGGTCCCGCTCCAAAAAAGTGAACTCGATTTACTTTCGTTTTTCCTATGCAAACAAAAAATAAAGATTACATTTTAAACTTACGAATGTTGTATATTTTATCAATTCATTGATCTTCTAAGACTAAGAAAATGCGTATTTTTGAATTTTGGAACTTTATAAGACAATACTGATATATAAGAATATACCTAGAACCTTAGTAGGTATGGAATACACCTGTTATGTACGGTCGGTTTTGGATACAGTCAGGGTTTATCCCTCGGGAAATATTTGTATATCCCTCGGTCCCTCGGGATATACACATATTTCCCTTGTGATTAACACTGTATCCAAAACTTCCCAGTACATAAGCCTTCGCCAGCTCGGACTATATCGTGACAGACCTCAGGCATATATTCAATGATAGGTACATACTCGTAATTGCTAAAAATTAACAAATGTGTTTTCTCTCTCCAGTCTTTATAGTTTTTTAATCGTATTTCCGGAATCGATGATATAACTTTAATCAGCTTTAATCGAAAGTTTTAAATCGAAAATCTCTCCTTGAGTATTCCGTACTATATCATTGCTAGAAATCGTTTAATTTGATTGGCTCTTTCAGCACCATGTGATCAAAAATGCCACGTGTACGTATTTATGTTATCTTATGGGTTTAAGATATATTTATTGATTAAAACAAATGTTAAAACAAATATTCTATATTTCTTTGAAATGCAAAGTGATCGTACGTAGAGAATGTCTAGCAATGATATAATAAAACAAATATTTCATTCTATGTTCGGGCAATACCTGTTGCACTTTCAATGATTTTTGCAGCATGTATTGCCCTCGCACTACGGGCTGCGGGCAATACATACTCCAAAAATCATTGACAGATGAATCCATAGAATGAAATATTTGTTTAATATTCCATTATATTCGAATTGTTTTGTTTTGATTTGTTTACACTTTTTTCTAGAAATAACCAAAGCTGAAATCAAGATGCCAAAGGTAAAGAGACATATCAACATTGTAGTTGTTGGTCACGTCGATTCGGGAAAGTCTACTACTACTGGCCATTTAATCCAAAAATGTGGTGGCGTCGACAAGACAGTCATTGATATGTATGAGAAGGAGGCTAAAAAGGTAAAATTGAACACGCATGAACAAAGTGATAACGTCAAGAACTGTGTACACGTAATGCCATTTACTTTCAAGAGAACGGTATGCAACTTCCAAACGTTGATATATGATGCAATGAGGATCGGAAGCCGTTATTCAAACTCGATACTCCGTTGCACGGCGTGGATATGAGCATCGCCTTTTGATTTCAACATTGCTTCATGTATACATTAAGAAAAAAAATTATTTTGTATTTATCATGATCATATACAGGATGACCCAAAAAATGCAACCCTCCATTTCTTCAATATTTTTCTTAAATTGAGGTTGTATTCTTTGACATCTAAAACACAAAGACTTCATTTAATATGGGATTCTCTGGCAAAGTTTTAATAATCATAGTCTTATATTGATAGAGGAGGAGAAAAAATGGTTTGGAAAGAAATATCGCTTTAGAAATGTGAATTAAATTTTTTATTGTCATGGAGGAATTAGCTACAAATGGGACAAAGGGACGAACGGAGGACAGACAGTTGGGCGATTGCAATATAAAGCTCACCCAATCCTCGGGTTTCAATTGAATGGGTAGCTCTAATTTATACTCCCCTCAACAAGTATGTCAATCATTCAGTCTTCATCGAAAGCTAGTTGACGCCTGTTAATGTTGAATCTTTTACTTTGTTTTGTTACGATAGTTTGGAAAATAACACATTTGATCTAGAAAGAAGGACTTGCGATTGCCAAGCTTATGAAAAATGTGTAAAGTCGTTGATGTTATTTCTTTCAGATTGGAAAGGGTTCTTTTAAGTTTGCCTGGGTAATGGACAAACTGAAGGCCGAGCGAGAACGTGGAAACACCATTGACATCACTTTACGGAGGTTTGAAACGCCAAAGTACGAAATCACTGTTATCGACACACCTGGTCATCGTGATTTCATCACCAATATGATCACAGGAACATCTCAGGTACAAATGTAGGTCGCAAGCCCGTAGCCGGGGAAAAGTTTCAATCGAATTGGAAAAATTAGAAATATTGAGAGAGTAGAATATTTTATCAGTGTTTTCGTTTTGCTTTGGCGTTGGCCATTTAAGTTTTTGACTATCGAATTCAACCTTTCGCTAAGTGCGATATCTCCTTGGAGCTCCCCAGAGATATCTCCAGACATTTTGGTATATTTCATGTTAGTTCGCTTTCATATTTATTTGAGTTTGATATCTTAGTGTTAGTTACGATTTTACGTATTGTTTAAGTAAACTTGGACTAGAAATAGCCCGTATTTTTAGAGATATTTAAAGATAAAAGTTAGAAGTCGCTCGGAATTTGTAAGATAACGCTGTTCCAATAATTGAATTTACCTTTAATGAGTTGTTATATTTACATTAGACTAAATAACACATGATCGCGAGAGACAGATGGCGGGATAGTGAGGCTTGCTATGTTGCATCATGCTCAAGTGACTGGCCTTGGGTTTTCTTGTGCTTCACGGATTCAGGATTGTTTAAGGTATCATGATACTTAACAGGAAATGACACAGGAAGTGACAAAACATCCTGCAGTTTTGGACATTAGAACCAAGACAACGGAGTTCTGTTTTGACCTCCAGTCAATTTAACTAGTTCCACATATCATTTACATGACCAGGATCACAATGTACATGGTTAGAATGACAGTAAGCATGATGAAATAACTTATTCAGCCTCTGGAAATGGGACTGAAAAATGGCTAAAAGTAGGAGATTAAGGAAGGTCACTGAACAGGATCTTTTGAAATTTTCAGAAAGTTTCATATAGTTTCCTTAAAACTTCTTAGTTTCTCAGAATTTGAGGTGTTGGAAACGTAGGATTCTTAAAAACAGTCCTAAAAGAATTGGACAATTATACTTGGATGAGTATTGAGGACAATATGAGCTATCTGTTTGCAGTAAAAAAGGATAATATGAGCCATACGTTTGAGTACATAAGGTAATATAAGCTGTTTAATTAGAGAACTTAAACTACAGGGTGTCCAATAAATAAGGTGAAAGATATTGTAACTTTCTTAATATTGCACCAATCTTGATGAATTTCAGAGTTTGTAGCCCAAACCTTTTTACCTTTATTCTGTGAATTTAAAGCGTCTTCTATTTGATTGGCCAATGCGAAGTGCCAAAGACCTAGGTTTTTTGCCTTGATATCTGACTTATTCCAAGACTTCGTTTATTTTCGGTAATAGAGGATCTTAGACGATTTATAATATTTTGAAACTCAGCGAGTATTCTGTCACACTTTGATGGGAATCTTAGTTTATTTTCACCAATAGATTTACAACCTTGATATAAACTTAGTTTATATATTGTCTCCATAGGCAAAGGGAAAAGTAATAGTAAGGTGTATGAAGAAGACACGGGTGAACAAGTAAGATCGAAAAAATTTCAAAAATGTTTCATCTTGGCACTAGTTCTACTAAATGGTATCAAATTGTATTCCCAAATCTCTCAAAAATCTTCTTCAAAGTGTTTTTCAAAGCTACGAGGGAAGATCCAAAAGTTTCCGGCCTAACATAGTTCTAGTTGATGGATTTTCAAAATGATAGTGTCATTTTTCAATGTAGTCTCTCTGTACTCCGATGCACTTGGCCCATCTTCTTGGCAGCATCTCAAGTCCAGTTCTGAAGAAATCAGGAGCATGACCCTCCAACCACTGGTTAACAGCTATCTTGACCTCATTATCATCATCAAAGCGTTGCCCTCGTAGAGATTTTTTGAGTTTCCCAAATAGGTAATAGTCACTGGGTGCTTGATCTGGAGAATAGGGTGCTTGCGGTAATAATTCCAGATGGCATTCTTCCGCTGCATCACGAGCAACTTGGCTTGTGTGAACAGGTGCATTGTCCTGTTGATGCAAAACTCCAAGACGGACTTTGTGTGGCCTGGTTTCATCAAGTTTAGCTTTTAAAGTACGCAACAAAGCAGCATAATATTCTCCATTCATTGTAGTATCTCTTGGAAGGTAGTCTACTAAGATAGGACCTTCACAGTCCCAGAAAATGGTGGCCATCATCTTTTTGTTGGATGGGGTGGTGCGAAACTTCTTTGGGGGTGGGGACCCCATATGTTTCCATTGCATTGACTCATGTTTGGTTGAAGGCTCAAAATGACGCACCCATGTTTCATCACAAGTGACTATTCTCTCCATAAAACCTTGTGGATCAGTGTTATACATGTCCAAAAGCTCTCTTGCAACAGCAACTTGTTTTGTTTTCATGTCCTCTGTGAGCATACGGGGCACCCATCTTGAGCTTAACTTTTGCATGTGTAAATCTTCATGAATTATTCTACAAACGGTACCATATGATAATCCAGTTTCTTCTACAAGTTCACGTATAGATTTCCGCCATCTTCCTGTATTGTTCGATGTACAAGATCAACATTTCTATCTGAAGTGACATCTTTAGGTCTTCCAGAACGTGGTGCATCATCAATTGATTCCCGTCAACGTTTAAATTCAGCCACCCAAAATTTTACAGTAGAATAGGAGGGAGCACCTTCCCCATACACATCCTTAAGTCTATCGTAGATTTCCTGCCCTCCATTTTCTTCTTGATATAGAAACTTTATCACAGCTCGATATTCAGTTTTCTCCATTGTGCAGCCACTGTGACCTGACCTCATTATGAATATTTTCAAAATGAGGCTGTGACCCCTAGAGGTTAATCATATGCATAAATTGTGTTCATACATAAGCAACATTTGAACTGTGAAGAATGGTTGCTCTCAGACATCGGGAACTATGTTAGGCCGGAAACTTTTGGATCTTCCCTCGTATATCATTGTTTTTTCAAATCTTTATCTTAAAACTGCATACAATACTGCATTTAAAACAACAACTATGGATATCTGCAATCGCCTGGCAAGATGAAACTTGTAACAAGTGAGTTGGTTGGTTAATACAGAGATTGTCACTAGTGGAGGTCAAGGAGGTCAGCAGTGACCAATCAGATCACTTGTTACAAATGTACATTTTTTTCTGCCAAGCAATTGCAGATTTTCAGAAATCACTCTATATCATCTGACTGAGTTTCAATCTTAGGTAAGGACTACCAGCTATCAGTTTTCTAGCCTTTTGAAAATAATACATAAATATTGTTGAAATCTCCATCTTAAAAAGTGGTCTAAGTCAGACTTGTGGACCTGTGTCTTCTATATAGCCTATATCTTACTATTACTTTTCCCTTGCCTATGATTGTCTCATATTGGAAAATTTTGACCATTGAAGCTATTATTTGAAGAACTTAGTTGATTTACTAGCTTATTTTAAGCTGTCTGAGAAACTTGAACTTAGATTTACTTGCTTATTTTTGAATGGGAAGCATAGAAGATTTGAAGCAAATTATTCGAGGAACTTAGAGGAATTACAGACCCATTATCGAACGAGAAAACATAGCCTATTCGAAGCCATTGAACCGAGGACCTTAGATAATTTACAACACAGAGAAACTTAGTGAATTCACACTGAAGAATTTGGATTAGCGGATTCACACTGAAGAATTCGAATGAATTAAGCAATCCTGGAAGACTTGATCATACCCTGGAACTAAAGAAGACGCAGAAGATATAAGCTATCCGTTTGCAGGATTCATAGGACTTAGAAGATACGAGCTATCCGTTGAGAGGATGCCAGCTTATCACCTCATTATACCGACGCGTATTATACCGAAACCCATTATACCGACGCGCATTGTGCCGAAAGGCCTACCGATGCGCGTTGTACGGAAATCCGTGCCAGTGGGACGGCACATTGCCTTAACCCATCAGTTCTATGACGTGCACGTCCGAGTGGGACTATATCTTTACAGCGGGAATTTCAAGTTTTTGTCAGTGTAGACATACAAAGATGCAGTCCTCAATACATGCATTTTCAATATTTTCATTTGAAACTCGCAAGAACGGTGCTTTGAATCTAGGTCTATACTCTTTCAAAACGTCATGTAGACACACGATTATGTACATGTGTGACAGTGCATTATATAGGCATAGAATAATAAAAGTGGAGACTGAAAAGTCAAATATGGTGCTATGTTGAAAAGCCAAGAGAAATTCTACTGTACCAGCATATAAAATAGATAGTTTATATATTACTTTATCATCAAATTATACATGATTTTTTCATTGAACAGACAAGTCTTGAAAATTAAAAATTCATTTTTATTTACTTCCACAATATTTTGACTTTAAACTCTTTAATATGAGACTGGATGTCAATCTGTTGTTTATATATTCATATTCAATTAAAAGTTTATTGCACAAAAACATATTTTCAGATAAAGCTTAAGTTAAAATCTTTGAACATCTTTACATCTCAGTTGCGACCAGAAATTTTTTAACTGATGCTAGGCGTTTCGGATTGAGGGGTCGTCTCAACAAACTGAATTCCAGTTAACCATCAATTTCTGTATTTTACAGAGGATAACGTCATAATTCTGTTATCTATGTTTGATTATGGTAAACCCTGTACTTCATAAAATATTTAACCGTGGTAAACTCTGTATTCAATGAAGTAAACATTTATTTATACTGTATTGTTTCATTGGAAGAAATAAATAATAATGTGCTATTAAATATAAAGTTTCACATTTCTTATTGAACTTGATAATTACTGTATTTTCGATCTTGTGCTAATGGGGCCAAAAATTGTTGTCATGGAGAGAGAGCAAGATATGTTGTCATGGAGATAGTAAGAAACGCATTCATTTGTTTTACTTTAAATCTTTCCAAATCCAGGTGTGAATTTATCAATGTGTGCCTCAATGATCCCATTAATTCTGAAGTTATTTCATTTTCTAACCATTTCACAAACATTTCTTTTCATATAATACTTCTAAATTGGCATCATTTCCATGTTTAAATTGCTTATATATTTTTTGGCTATTGATATTATCTCTATCATCAGTTTTCATTCCACAAACGAAATATCAATTATTTTGCCCAATATTTCAGTTTCATTATTTTGAAACATTGCATACATGTTTTAATTGGCAGTTTAAAATGGTGCTCATTAACTAAGTCCAATATTCAGCGCCCCTTTAATATCTATTTAGGGGCAAATCAATACTAGACTTAGCAGGTCATCTGATTCTCAATTTGATTTTGATTTGAATTGATTCTCAATTGGGACCCATAGTGACTTTGCTCCACCGTTCTTGGTTGAGTTTAAGTCATGGCTCTAATTGGTACAAAAATTAAGCTACCCACGAATGCTGTTTTTCCTCCAGGGCCTTGCCATAACTAACGAAAACAATGGTGTGGACATTTCTGGATTATTTCCGGTGTTTCCTTTTGTTGATACCTCATTTCTCAAAGTACCCATGCCAACTTCTTGACTCTGTTGAAAGCCCATGGTCCAATTAACCGTACTTCCTTATCTTATGGTGACCACACAGAATGATAGAGTGGGGAAATAAATGAATTAAAACGTCAAATTAAGAAGCAAAAGTCTTTTCTGGGTCACTGCGAATGGCATGATTTCCTCGAGTCTCTTCAGTTGCAAGGCAACCATACTGGGACCGATTCGCGTCGTTCCACTACTGCCCTTGGTGGGGGCCCGCTACCATACTGTATGACTCCCGGAGTTTACTAAAGCACGTTAGTGGAGGAACCAACCACAGTCTCACAATCTGTCTCCGGCAAGAGCGGCCAGAGAACCAACCCATGCCAAGGGCCGGTAAACGGTTGGACCTTCGGACCGGGTGTCCGTAGTGACAATGATCAACAACTCCGTACCTGGGGCTCGAACGCGGGACCTCCGTGTCCCACGACGTTCAACCGCAAAGTAACCTCAGTCTACGCCACTAGGCTACCCTGCTTAGGTGTCAAAACTGCTAAAAAATAATGTAGTTGTTACAATTATTTGCTTGGATAAACATGATATTACATTTCTTAATTGATTAATCTGATTTAGTTGAAATCGAAGTTCGACCAACGATCAAGGCAATGCAATCAACAACTCCTGCAAATGTGAACGGGAGTCGTTAAGACAGAAAGTACAAAAATCGTGATCAATATAAAGTGTAATATTTAAGACACATCTTTGAATATCGGGTAGGAGAAACATTCCAAAATGAAGAAGAATCATTTAGAGCATTTGATTTGTTGCCAATATATCAATTGCGTCTCAAATGAATGAAATAAAAGGTATCGCGGGCCACCAAAGCCGATGAGTGAAAACAATTATAATTGACGCATCTAGATCGCTCAATATAACAGTAAGTGAATAAGTTTGTATAGATACGTCGAGCAAAATAAGCTATTTCGACGCTTGAAATAATCTGATTACGCTTATTAATAATAATGCGTGGCTATTAAACACAAGTGTTGTGTAGAACAAAAACAAGAAAACTGAACGAGCTATTAAGGAACTGTACTTCAGTTCCAAAGTGTTCAAAATATTTCGGCATGTTCAAAAACACAAAATTTATATTTTAGGCTATCCATATTTTGTCAGATATGACATATATGATCAATATAAAGTGTAATATTTAAGACACATCTTTGAATATCGGGTAGGAGAAACATTCCAAAATGAAGAAGAATCATTTAGAACATTTGATTTGTTGCCAATATATCAATTGCGTCTCAAATGAATGAAATAAAAGGTATCGCGGGCCACCAAAGCCGATGAGTGAAAACAATTATAATTGACGCATCTAGATCGCTCAATATAACAGTAAGTGAATAAGTTTGTATAGATACGTCGAGCAAAATAAGCTATTTCGACGCTTGAAATAATCTGATTACGCTTATTAATAATAATGCGTGGCTATTAAACACAAGTGTTGTGTAGAACAAAAACAAGAAAACTGAACGAGCTATTAAGGAACTGTACTTCAGTTCCAAAGTGTTCAAAATATTTCGGCATGTTCAAAAACACAAAATTTATATTTTAGGCTATCCATATTTTGTCAGATATCTCCAATTCATAATCCAGGGAAAACATAATCATGTTTCCGAAAAGAAACTCGCTACTCAAAATGAGGCACGGATACAAGTACAGAGAATAGCCTAGTGAAGGCATCAATCTAATAGTGGCTTTTCCATATAGCTTTGAAATCTCGTTAAGGTCTCGTTTTAATGAGGTTTTAGGAGATCTGCATATTTAACCACTAAAGACTAACATTTTCTTCTATTTTAATTCTGTGTGTAATTTTTTATGAAAAGAACTTAGTTTTTGCACCTTTATTCAAATTTTAGAGATTTTCAAGTTTTTTAAAATGGGCGGGCTAAATCCCCATTGACAAAGTAACATACTAGTACATGTACATTGGTAATATAACAGGCTTTCGTCAATGTAATAAAAGCGAGGGGTTTGGTATATGAATTACAGCTTCATTTACAAAACAAATTCCAAATCGAAGAAATTTATTAAAACTAGGCTATTATATTTTCTAGCTTTGGGCCAAATTATAATCTGTAACTTGACTTATTAGTAGGTTTAAATCGAGAAAGCAAAAAATTCGTAACCAGGAAGTTCATTCATTTTGTTACATTGACGTTCCGTCAAAGTAACTAGTTGTCTTTCGGTACAATGCGCGTCGGATAATGCGCGTCGGTATAATGGGTTTCGGTATAATACGCGGACCCCGCTCAGTGAACGTGGCCATTTAAAAAAATTCTTTAAAATGATAGCAAACTAAAGTAATGTGACTAAAATAATAGCATATGGATTTTTGAGTTGATTAAGATCTCATAGAGAATCGAAATCTCGATTATGCTGTAATATTTGTTGTTGTTTACATTCACACTTTTGTTCTTTCAGCTATTTTGACTTTAACTAGACACCAATCCCTATAAAAATTGTTAATAACCGACCTCTGAGCATAAATAACACCTAGCAATGCTCCGAGGCCCAGTTATTACAATTTATTCAAAACTTAAAATGTGAGCATCCACTAGTCCGAACACATTTGACTGGTTCCTATGGCGATGAGATTAGACTGTTTTCATTGTGTATAACGCTTGTATTTTGTTTCTTTTCAGGCCGACTGCGCCATACTAACAGTGTCTTCCAGCCCTGACGAGTTTGAGGCTGGCATTTCCGAAAATGGGCAGACACGAGAACACGCTCTGCTTTGCTATACCCTTGGTGTAAAACAGCTGATTGTCTGCGCTAACAAGATGGATAAAACAGAACCTCCCTATTCCGAGGCACGATTCAACAAAATCCAAAAAGAAGTTAGCTCCTGTCTCGAAGAGGTCGGCTACAATCCAAAGTCAGTAGCATTTCTCCCAATATCAGGATGACACGGAGATAACATGATAGAAGCGAGCCCTAACATGCCGTGGTTTAAGGGATGGACGTGGTTTCCTAGAGGAGCTGGTATGTTTAAATTTCTTGACAAGGTCGAATTTGCCTGGTTAAAATATGTATTGATGAAGACATTTGCTTTTTACTCTCAAACCTTTGAATTCACTATCAAAATGTAGCTTGGACGTTGAACCACACATGGGTCAGTAGTATCCATACCTCGAAGTAAAACATATTGTGTTCCATTCGCCGGGCTCTTCGCCCATTGACCCTAAGGTAACATGAATTAACGGTACAATTTGCCTTTGTGGATCATAATACTGGTACCTGAAACTTAAGGAATAGATAGACAGAAAGACAGAGGGGTGATATGTGTGTTTATCTTCTTAAAGAGAAGTATTTGTATCAGGAGATATGTTGACAACAATTGCCCACCATGTCTTAATCCAACCTATATGCATTACTTATGTTTATAGGAACGACTCTACTCGAAGCTATTGACAATATAAGACCCGCAAAACGTGAAGTAGAAAGACCACTTCGCCTCCCTATCCAGAATGTTTATAAGGTAGGCGGCATTGGAACGGTACCAGTGGGGCGTGTTCAGACTGGAATCCTGAAGCCAGGAATGGCCGTGACCATTGCTCCCACGAATATTACCACTGAGGTTAGATCCGTCGAGATGCACCATGAAAGGCTTGTCGAGGCGATCCCTGGCGATAATGTCGGATTCAACGTTAAGAATGTGTCTGTCAAAGATATCAAGAGAGGATATGTTGTAGGGGACCTAGAAAATGATCCCCCGAGGAAAGCAAAATCTTTCATTGCGCAGGTAAGTACACGCAAATTGATGACGTCAATATTGATTTATGATTATCATTTATCACGAGGCGCGAGGCGCATTTGAAAAGTTTGTTTCTTTTTGCTCTAAATATACCAGGAATGATCAGAACAAAACAAAATTTGCAGGATGTATAGTTTGAATATTTATCATCAAGCTGTGAAAATTATAAATGTGTCACGGAACCAACTCTCGCTAATAAAGAATTATATTTTATAATAAAGTATAGTCAAGACGTCAAAACAACATGCTGAAAGTTTCATAAATAAATCTGTAAAAATAAAAGAACAAACTTTTCAAATGCCCCTCGTATTTTAATGAATCAAGTTACACACAAGCATATTGGCCATCTTTGGTTGCACAGTCCAAATACCGAGGCCCCTAAATTCTTCGATATCTGTTCTTGTAGATGATTATATTGAACCATCCAGGAGAAATACACAATGGATACCAACCAGTGCTTGATTGCCACACAGCACACATCGCTTGTGAATTCACCGAGATTCAACTAAAAATGGATCGCCAAACAGGGAAGGTGCTTGAAGAAAACCCAAAAACGATAAAAAGCGGGGATGCGGCCGTCATACTTATGACTCCAAGCAAGCCAATGGTCGTCGAGGCTTTCACTAATTATGCGTCTCTTGGTCGTTTCGCCGTGCGTGACATGAAACAAATCGTGGGCGTTGGGGTCATCAGGAGTGTTACGAAGGCTGATCCGGGAAAATGAAGAGTCACAAAATCCACAAAGAAGGCTTCGGGCAATAGTTAATTGTTGACTTTGCCTCAATCTCAAGATCCTGCACATGATTGTGTTTTAGTTCAAAAGGATAACGTATATTTCAACCATTAACACTAACATAAGTTTTACAAATTAACACTTGGAATTGCTACGTTCGGAAATAGCTATTAAATGGACAATTTATCTCTTGATGTTAAAGGAAGCGTCTTGTAAAATGTCGTATCAGAGACCAACAATAATCCATATATTAGCAAGTCTGGCTATGTAACATATTCTATATTGCAAATACTGCAACATGACCGTAGAAATCAACAAGTCGTAGCCAGACCGCAGAAAGTTTCTACGGCGGCCGCACGTCGGACTTACGGTCGACTTTACCCTGCGTGCAGAGTCTAGTTAAACTACGAAGACGAAGCTCTCTTTTAAGAAGTGAAGTCAAACGAATGCAAAGGGTAGGTCGACTTGCGTCTGCCGTAGGGTTTTGATGGGTAATGTACCTTTGGAAACAGGTCTTAGGTCATGTCTTCTGCTCACAGCAGCTGTGAACAAGTTCGCAAGACGATTGACTCGATTTCCAGCTCAGTTCTTGAGCTTGCAATAGGCAGAGTTAAAAGATCTGAGTTAAATGTCATGTTAATGGCTTATCCACATATCCACAAATCACATATATGATATCATATATGATCTCATATTCATTATGGCAGTGTCTGAGGCAAGTGAACATTGCAATTTTGAACAATTTCATTTTTTATTATGATCTACTTTACTGTACACATTCGGCTTTCTACTGACCAGTACATTTTATAATATATGTTGCCTTCTCTCCCAATTTTGCCTCCTTCAGTTTCACGCGGTGCCAACTACGACCGTTAATTTGAATTTTAGACCTATCCCATGTTTGAGAATCAAGTATTGTGAGTCTAATACTGCACTGTTTTACATCAAATTTGTCCCATTAAAAGCTGAATGCCCATGTAGTGTCTCGGATTATGTTGAAGACTTGCACTGCCAGGGATTTATGATAAAAAGCAGAACAAAATTGCCTTTCTACCGGTGCATTGGTTTATTGTAGTCGAGTCCCTCGATTTAGCTGTGAGAAGCGCCCTGTATAACAGAGTTATGTACCAACAGGAAGGCATTTCTGTTTTGCTTTGAATGGAATAAGTTTGAAGAAAAACGGTGCAGTATGAGACTCACAATCCTTGATTTTCAAACATCGGGTAGGGCTAACTTAACAGTTTTCGTGTATAGTTGGACCCTCATCTTTCTGTTATTGCGGTATTTTTCATGGCGGATGTCAAACAGGTATATGAATGGTCCTCATAAAATTCTATTGTATACAATCTTCTGAATGGAAGGCAAATCATCTTCCTCTTCATCACCCGATTCATCAGGAATGGCATCCTTGTTCTTCTCTCCCTCTAATACGCGTTGCTTCTTTGGAGGCATGGCGTAATAGCATTTACTAAGAGTTGTCATTATATGTGACCAGATTCCCTTAAGTTACTCGGGGTCTTGGTTTCACTCAACACTTTTTACTTGATATTATATCCTATAATATCAATATATATTTTATAGATTGTACTTACAATATATGATGTAAGTAAAATAAAACTGAGCATAAACGACATAGTGTATGGTCAACGTCATTTGTCGCAGGGGTTGCATCTGCTCTTGTATCCTGAGAAAACTACTCCCTCAGTAGGGAGACCGTACGGCGACCGTGTTACTGACCGCAGAAATGATAGACCGCACGGCGGCCGTAGGAAATGTGACTGGGGTGTTATTCAAGATGTTACTTGTTAGGTGTATTTTCATGTGTTGATGTAGTTTTGAGAATATATTTTGGATAAATATTGATAACGTATACTGCATTATTCATCTGACCAATACATATAAATATCAACAAGTCGTGGATGCACGCCTAACCATCGACAACGTACAGTGACAAAATATACCGTTCTACATTTTAGATGTACGTTGTCACTATTAACCGATTTGAAGCAAAGACAATGATGTAGATTTGATGTAGGTTTAAAAATAATCTGAGCAATACATTAAGGATTTTAAGTTTGATTTCGTGTGTATTCGTTTGGGAAGACATTGAACTTTCTAATAACGTTAAAAGATTTTCAAACAGTGCTCGATTTTATCCGTGGTTAATCTACCCATATAATTGGTCGGTTGAAAAATGTTTTTTTTTTACACATTCCCTTTAATCATTTCCTCCCCTGTCGTCTAAGAGTGTCGAATATTTTTATTAATATGCTTCTCTAAACTACACAATTCAGGATCGGTGGAGATTAATAAATATTCAGGTATTTATTGTAATAGAAAAAAATCAGAAATGTGCGTTGTCAACTCGAATGTACGTTGTCCCTGTAATTGAAATTCATGAGATATAATATTAAGACGAAGCTCTCTTTTGAGAGGCGATATCGAACGAATGCAAAGGGTATAGATTATTTAAGTGTCTTCGTCGCCGAAGTACAGTAGCATCTGCCATCTATATTTAATTGATAACCATGACGAATTGCCAAATGAAATGATCTACTAGCTTCGTCACTGGTGATCCACTCGATTACGCTGGTTACCAAAACGAACCGTTTTGGTAACAAAATGTCGGACCGTCGAAGGCACGATTTTTCTTTCTTCCTTATTTCATGCGTTGTAGGCAGAATCCCCACGACGTTTTTTCTCACAACGTACATCAGTATCATATGTTTTAGAAAATGTACATGTTTGCGAAAAATAGCTCAGAGGACAACAGAATCGTCGATTTACTTCCTCACTTAAGTTACATAAACGGTTTCTCGAAAAACAGTTAAGAGCTGCACTTTTAACCCAAACCGTTTATGTAACTTAAGTGAGGAAAGAAAATCGACGATTCTGTTGTCTTCTGAACTACTAGATATAGTATTTGTTCGCCAATATGTACAATTTCTTAAACATATGGTACTGATACACGTTTGTGTTAAAAATGTAGTGGGAATTCTGCCTACAACGTGTAAAATAAGGAAGCGAGAAAAATCGTACCTTCCGGATGTTCCCACATTTTGTTACCAAAACGAACCGTTTTGGTAACCAGCGTAATCGAGTGGATCACCAGTGTAGGTGTACCCTCTGTTTTGTTGAACACATTGCTGTATATTGGCATTTTCATATTTATGACTTCAATTTAAGATAAAAGTCAGAATAACAATTTTGTTTGTTTTGTCGTTCTATTCGATCCTTACTAACTTTTTACCGTATTTATAATTTATAAAGTAATTGTTCTTTAATAAGCCTAAACGCAGGGACTAGTCTTATCTTAAAAGGTAGAATCGGATCTACGGGGGTGACAAAATTACAAGCAAGGTGTACAATGGTCCTTTTTCCATATAGCTTTGAAATCTCATTAAAGTCTCATTTTAATCAAGAATTGAAAAGGAATGACAGGAGCCAGAATTATTCTAAAATTGAAACAATTTTTGTTGGGCAGCACGCTTGGTCTGATTCTCTCTTTAAGCTTGGTAAAACGAATCATTAAATACTACTTTCATACAGAGACATTTACATGTCTCTGTTTCGTAAATTAGAAATGCAAGAAAATCAAACAACTGATCGAAAAATTGTAATCTGATAAGAATATGTTCAAACATCAACAGATAATCGTTTCCAAAGCAGCGGGTAAAATCTACTAAATTATAAAGTCAACATAACAAAATATATAATCCAATTCACTGCGTTGTATTTTCATATCTTATAATCAGAAAGAAGGTTATTAGCAAACTGTGCGATGTCACCCAACCAAAAGGAGATTTTCGTATCAGCTCTTAAGCTGATTACATTGTTTAATTTGTTGAACGTGTAGTGCTGGGAAAAATGCGTGTTCTCAAAATGCTTACCAAAATATTACAGAAAACTTTTATTTCAGATTTTTTTCAGTTGGAAAATCATGAAAATGAAGTCTAAGTTTAATCAAAGAATTCATTTGGCGTCAACTCACGTTTAGCCGCCTGTCAATGTTTAATAAAAACATGGAAAAGGGCTGAATACGAGCTCAAAAACGAGACTTCTGTTTAACAAACTTTTGGAGGGAGTGTAAAGCGTAAAGTATAGTATTTCACATTCCTTATTTGATAAACCATCCTTACTAATGATTCCATACTATATACCCATTGACTTCTCATATTGCACCCCTTTAGGACCCTTCTATCTGTCAAGGGAATTTTGATTTAATTTTGACAAACTACTGTAAACTTAAGTGTTGCACACGTCTTTGGCGTAAAGTCAAAATCAAAAATGTAGACGCAGGGTTATTCGGGCATAAAGTCAAAATCAAAAATGCAGACGTAAGTTCTCTGAAAAGAGGGGAAAAACATTAATGTTGTCAGCGCTCGTCTGTCTGCACCTTTACAAATGTAGATTCGGGAAATATCCCATAAAACATAAACATATTAAGCTTATATGTACCGGTTGCCATGGCAATTATTTCAGTATAACCCACAATGCCACATATCCTACCTATTTCTAAAGACCATAACAACACTACCCTTTGCATTCGTCTTCTGTAGTTTAACTAGACTCTGCAGGCAGGGTATAACAACACAAATTTCATCTGGGTGTTTTAAGATTAATCAATATTAAAACATCTCAAAATGAATATGTGAAGTTTTTGTGAAAAATTATTTTTTCAATGTGAAATTCTGAAGACGAAGCTCTCTTTTAAGAAGTGAAATCGAACGATTGCAAAGGGTATCAGACAATTTTTAAAAATTTCGAAAGTCATTTAATCATTTTATAAAATTCCAATCATAAATACGGTGTAAACTCACAAAAGGGAACCACTACCGTCGCTTATAAGTTCTTAAAAGTTATCTCACATATTTAGCATGGATTTCTATCCTCAGAGGTCCATGCAAATAGTTATATTGAAATAGTTTGAATTACTATGTTTGTCTGCTTGTTTGTTTGTTTGCCACTGTCTCCCACTCCCATAAGGTAGGAACGGTCTTCGTCGTCTTAATTGTCGTGATAGCCATGGGCGTATGGCTCTATTTTGAGTTGGTAGGTCCACTTGAGGATGTCTGATTATACATGGCCTTAGGCCGCGCATCTTGGAGGGTCCGGGGGTATGTTTCCCCGGGAATTTTTTTGAAGACGTTATTTGATGCAATCTGAGCGTTTTTATCAACTTTAAAAAGTTCTATTCTGATAAAACTTAATGGTTAAATAGTGTAAGCCTACAAATACCGAATCAGGAATAAATGTGCAACTTTTAACAGATTTTTAATTTTTTTCAAATTCATTTGATACGCACGGGCGTGCTGTGCGTAACAGCCGCTACGCCCATGATAGTGTTGCCAGGGATCCTAGAAGGACTGTGTATTAGGCCTATTTTATTTTGATGATGGTCACTCTTTTCATAGAAGAGGCAGGTCTATTATTAAATAGATGGCGTGAAACCAATCAGAGTCTTGTTTTTTTCATTTTTGTTTCAACAATAATTCGGTATTTAAAAATTTAAGAGTGAAGTTTGACTAATTTATAGTGTTTTTTCATGTGAAGTTAATTTACATTATCCGCCACCAATCGACGTGCCATTTACATATAACAAAATAAAAGTATTGTGATTTAGATGATAAAGTATAGATGAATAGCTAAAGCCTAAGCTTATTTAAAAAAAGTTGATTTTTTTAAAATACCGATCTTTTGTTAAAATAAAAGTTTCAGTGATCAGGACTTGATTGAGGCGGGGTAGTTTTCCAAAAAAACCTGTAGGTTAGGCCTAGTCCGACAGTTTTAACAGAATCTGTAAAAATTAACTTCAAATTTCATTCATGGAAGATAAATAAATATGATGTCTCAGTACACTTATGTTTCTTTGCCTCGACAATTTGCGGGCAGTGAAAATGAAATTTTTGGAATGATCAAACAAGTGATGTTTTGTATAACAGGTATGACCCATTTTGTTCATGCCTCATTAAATATTCATAAGTTGCTACATATTTATGAGCTTAATTTAATCAACAATATGTAGAAGGGGTGTACGTTTTGAAAAGTACCTAATAAAGTTCTAAACTTTATTTTATTTAAAGACATTTTAGATGATCAGGGATGGATTTCAGCTTTAATTATATATTTATGCATATATCCAATGTTTTATTGAATTAAATTTGATATTTTAATGTAATAATCGCATAAATATAGTTTCCCTCCAAAAAGCAACAAGTATGGATTTTATCCTTGCACCCCTATTGATTGGCATCGCCCGAAAATCCGGACATGCGCAGAAGGGTGCACGTGTTCATAAACAAATTTTGGCGAACAGTGGCAAAGAAAGTAGATGCACCGATGACTTTATAGCCATTCTAACTCTTCTCACCCACTCAGGTAGTTACAACTGGGCTCAAGCTTTTTAACATGGGGACTGAAACTAACAAAGAGGAAAGGAACACGCCGGAATATCTCGCACAACTACTAAAGGATAAGAAACAGATACAAGCATTTCCAAATGTATTTCACCACTTAGAAAGAATCCTTGACGAAGGTGAGTTTTCTTTCCTTCAAATATGTAACCAAATGTCACTTTTATTTACATTTCTGTCATTACAATTGACGTCTTTGACACAGTTGTTGTGAATATGCTCGCTAACCTCTGTGATGCCGTATTATTTGGCTGTAGAAAATAGTTGAAAATTGCCCAGTAAAATGTTTGTTGTGCTTCTGAAAAACTTCTGAAAAAAACTTTTCCGAAGTTGCTCGACTTTTTGAGTTCTCGTACATGAGCTTATGTCTCTTATAAACCACTACATATACCGAGCTCATGAACTATTGATATGAATTTACTACCTGATATCTTTATTGCCTCTATAGGGGCTATAAATGTCGAATTATAAGTGCATTCCGATACAGTATTTTTACCCAAAAATCTGTACATACAGCGGCCATATTGAAACCTATATGCTCTAGTCAACAAAGGCCCTTTCAATAACTTGCCAATGGATTTTCTATTGTCATTAAAGCTTATGACTGGTTTCTTTCAATCGAGGAATGTAGTACTTGGTATCAATTCAATTCGAAGTTTATAAATCGCAGCACAAAGTTGATTTTAACAGGTAACAGGAAGAGTCGTTCGAATGAAAATTATGAAGGCTAAAATAATTATTGTCGGCTAAGGGTTGAAGTGGAACATCACTTTTGAATGACTGTTTGTAATGAAGGGATGAATGCTACGATGGTGAAAGAAACTCACTTCTAGCACTAACATATAAGACATGTAAAAATGGTTCTTGGAACCAGTCATGCATGATTCTTTTCCTGGACGACGATACCACGCCACCCCCATCCAGCTTCAGTCTTGACTACATTTCTAATCTGTTTTCCTCCAAAGCTCCGGAGACCTAAATAGAAAATATTATCGATACATCACATTTAATTCATCAGGCTTTATGAAAAGGAAGGACAATTTTTACTCATATCACAAAAAAACTAATCAGTACTAGTCTTTTCCATTAGCGTGAGAAATGATGATACTTGGCAAGACGTGTCATAAATGAATGATCTTAGACGCTTTGGGTGTTAGATCGTACACATTTCTAATAGAACAAACCTATGAATGTTATTGTCTTAAAAGCATATCACACACTAGATCTTGGCTAGAGTTAATCGCAGTGATTTATTCTATAACTTTCCCAACCTTTTCCTCTTTCATTGATTTTTCTGATTTTCATTAGCGCTCCCTAAAACAATGTAGTTGATTAAATGACTATGTCCTTTGCTAGTAACTAAACCATTTATCATTTATATGCTCTAAGCGTTAGACCAGTTCTTCTACAGTATAGAAACCGTTGCTAATAACTAATGCTGACATCCTGTAATATATATGTATTCATGAATATTGATGATGTGATTATCTCTTGATATCATATCAATTAAATCTACAAATGCTCATTAATGCCATTTAATATTTGGCTGTATTAGTGTTAATAAGATTAATAATGACACATTGATTTTGATAATTTTGATAACATCACTAAATTTGAATATAAAATATTACCAGACTACTGTGTATGTACTTCAGCCATTCAGTAGAACTATTCTTTCAATCTTTGCATTTAAATTAGAGAAAATTTACAACATTTTCATTTGTGTCCATTCCGTTCTATATCCTTTAATACATGATTGAACCAATTTTGAAATTGAAGTGACATTTAGAATTGGCCAAATTCTTGCTCTGCTGCTTTGGAATGCTTGTGTGATTATCCAATACTAGGTGATATAAGGTGATTGTTCGATGTTATAAGGTGTGATGTTCTCATGCTATTCGGTGTGATATCCCCATGTTATTAGGTCCAGTATTGTACTATCCTATTAGATCCATGATTGTTCTGTGACATTAGCTACTATTTAATCAAATTAGACTCAATCAATTATGAATTATACCAATCTGTTATACTCTCAATTATATCCATTGATTATTTAGTATTATCTCTATTACTCGTTCAGATTGATAGGTTAACAAGTTGTTATCTATTGTGTGTACTTGCTCAAGTATTATTCTATTTATTCAGCTATTACGCTATAAGAATTAGGTATATTGCCACTTGTCATGAAAATCTAGGTGATAAAACACTTGTCATACATCTATAGAATCTTACTATTGCTATTAGCTTTCATTCTGATATAGAGAATAAAAAATAATGTTTTTTACTTTTTGAAAAAGAAATTTTGTAAATTTATGTATTCAATTTTATTATTTTGTGAGTCTTGAGAGTTTTAACTGTATACCAGCCATAGTTTTTGAATGAGTCTCACACAGATGTATGTATCTAGAATTCCTGATCCCACCCCTAGATTTTGCGTTGACATTTATGAATGCGAACGTCCCTCTAAAGTTTCGAATGTACTCCTTAAATTTTGATTATTTTAACCCAAACATAAATCCAATTCATTTTTTGACATGTGTACAGAATTTATACATGAGTTAAAAATCGTTAATGCATGGGTCATGAGGTTCTGATAATGGTTGTGACCATCCATCTTGAACAGGTATTTCACTCAAAGGAGTTCATCAGGGTTGTCTTTTGTCCCCTTTTATATTTAACTGAATAGAGGCAACCAGCTGAAACTAAAGTTTCAGTTTAGCATGAGAACACCATTCAATAGTAATGTTAACATTTTTATGAAATTCAAAAACAGTGAGAAATAAGGACAGTTTATATCCAGTTGTCCAGGGCAACCAGCTAGAATAAGCTATTTACAATTCTCTCCATATTGTTTTTATTTGTGATTTGAGTTGTTTAGCACAGTATTGAAAAGATCTTTATGACTTATTAGATTGTTTACATGTGTTATTTTCTACTGGAGCCGAGAAAGGTCCTCAAAGAATTATTGTTGCGCATTAGGCTATTGTCGTTATGAAATAACTATTGTCTAAAATTATTATCAATTGTAAAAATTGAGCAGTTCAGTGCAGTATTTGTGAACGTGAAGTTAAGCTTTAGAGGGCTAAATAGGTATTATGTAGGACCCAAAAATAAAATAATCTCCTTAGTGGTTTGGTATTCAGCCCAAACCTGATTGATCCAAAATTTATATGCAAAGCTGCAACTGAAATATCCATGATAAAGTGTTATTACATAAAGTGAGACAATTTTCATGAATTTGGTTTTGAATTTGTAGCTACTGAATTTTGTAGGCTTTGTACAGTCCATTTGGTTATGTAAAAATGGGTAGTTGAAAATTTTAACAAAATACACTTATTGGTGAAAAATCAAAATGGTACAAAAAGGGTTTCATACTGCAGAATGCCCCTTATTCATCAATATAAATGCCACTGTGGCTTTTTGGCTTAAAAATGATTCAAATTATAGTCGAGTACAAGATGGGCGGCCATGTGGAAAAACCACTTATCTTTCCAATTTAAATGATAAATGCCCCTCTGACTTGTATACTGTCTTCCCTATACCAACAAGCTAGTATATTTGCAGTTAGGTTTGCTGTAATTTTCTGATTCTGTTTTCTGCTTTTATGATAACTTTTTATAAAGCTGTCTGTCCATCCATCCATCCATCTATCTGTCTTTTCCATTACATTAGACAGTAGATCTCTAATGTCATAAGTATCTAAATAAATATGATTTCATGTAATAAAGATAGCAACATTGGGCTGCATTTTCATGAGTGTCTTGGTGCTATTTACTCTTCAACTTAGTATAATACATCTGAAATTCCCAAATTTGGCAGAAGTCTAAACGAGAGAGGGTAGGTGCTGTCTCCTAAATTAATTATTTGGGAGAATTTAAACATTTTTTCACCCATTTTTGAACTATGAATCCATAATAACTTCACCAATTTATAATGTATCATGAATCTATTTGGAGATATTGTATTTGAGATTGTAAAGAATAGATTAAAAGGTAAATTGTACATGTTGCTTGTAATTTTTTCACCCCCTATAGATCTGATTCTGCCTTTAATATATGTATAAGTATCATTATTATACTTATAATAAAGTCATAGTAAAATTGTAATGATGTTGATGAGATTTTAAGAGGTGTGAAACAAGGTGAACTAACTTTGCCCCTAAGGTTTGTTAGTTCCATTAATTCGACTCAACTGATCCAAGCTGATATAAATCATTCATGAAAGAATTCTGCCAACTTTGGATCTCATTGGAATATATACATAGTCCCATTTAAGTCTTTTGAAATGATTACATGTGTGGATTGCACACATATCTGTTTACAAAGGACATTTACAAGTCAAAACATGTATCTACTAGTGTACCAGGTTGAAAATTGCTATCAACTTCGTCCAATGCATTTCAAATTTCCAACTTGTGCAGTTGTGTGAAGGACAGAATGGTTTGGGGGGCTGAGTGGGGTTGCTGATGAATGGTCTTCAACACTAGCACCCAGCCGGTGAGTATTTTGTTCAAAAATATAATTTTGAACAAAATGCCCAATTGACCGAGTACCAGATTGAAAATCGGAGAAAATGTGACTTGGGCATTAAGAGGGACTCTGAATTAATCTGAATGACAAATCGGCTGTTCTCGTTAAAACATGGATATGCTTTCCCATGGTTACTGATTTTGTTAATTCTCCATTTCGCTGTTCGCTCTTTGAATCAGACCGTTCGCATATATGGTGCATATATGTACTCAAAAAGGACAAAATTTGATTGGTCAATATTTTTCAACGATGCATTTCGTGTAGCTATTTGTGAGACCCGAAAGTTCTAAATCAAATTAATTACGCAATTTTGTTTTTACACCCGCAAGCTAAATAAAAAAATGACACCATCGGAATTCTTCTTCTTTGTCATTGAATTAATAGTCAGTATACCAGATTTAATCAATAAAAGATTATACAATTAACAACAAAATTCGGAAACGAGTATGTAAGATTTGCTTTCGAACCACTAAACTTGACCTAGATAATAGCGACGTGTCTTCTTTGGTCAAATGCTCAGTTGTTTGTGGGTTTTCAACGTAACTCTATAATGTAATATGAAGATGAGTACTTTTATTCAGTTGTTGCATCGATGTTACAGTTTGTAGTGCGGTAATATTGGCATGAACGTGTTGAAAGTCAATGGAATTGCTTTTTCCAATATGGCGACTAGTCACGTGACTTCTTCTCTTCCGGAATATACTCCCATTTTCAATCATTGTTTTCACCCCGTTAGGAGCCAATAAAATGAAAAAAAATATATGTTATATAAAGATTATTAAAAGACTAATTGTTTCTGATAGTTTGTTTTCTCCGATCGCATGGAGATTCGATCGAAAATATCGCTTGAAAAATGGGTATGAAAATCCCCATGTTAAACCAACGGGGAAAAACAAGGTAGAAAAATTTTGTTCCCCCGCGAACTGCATCATGGGAAATATTTTGACCTTATAAGGAAAAACTTTCGCGCCATCTTTATTAGAGATTCAATACTACCGAATCCGCGATTTTAAGAATTACATTAACAAGCACACTTTATAATTTAATCGGCCCATCTTCATGTGTAGTCACATAGATTGAGCTAATATTGTTGATTGTGTTTTTACCTTGGGTAATATTAATGTTTGGGACAATTAGGCTATTTAGGCTCAGTGTGTCAAGGTGTGAAGCTATGGAGTTCGACTGTGAAGGAATTCATATTGAAAATATGAAAAAAAACATTGATTGTTTGGTGTCTACCCTTGGCCTGCTGGTTTTGAATATGGGGTTCTGAGGGTTGGATTTCTAGTTTAGACACTTTCAGGATATCTAATTGTGTCTGATTCAATCAACAATTGTCCAACTTATCTGATGAGTGTTTTTATTATGTAATTTTTTTCAGTAGAATTACTGGTTATTAATGGAAAATGTATATTTCATATTTTTTGTATTGGAATTGACCCATTAAATGTTCTACATTTATTCTATGTAGTCATACATAACATAAATTAATCAATCCAGAATTTAGAATACAATTGTTCTGTAAACTTAAACAGACTTCTGGTTTCCCACCAATTTGTTTACATTGTCAACAATTATATAATATCATAAGGCAAAATTGAATAAATTGTAATCGTTACCTGAGTAGATTATTGCCTTGATATGTAATTAAGGTATCGCATTATTGATATTGAAATATATGTACAGGTATATTGGTAGCTTTCGACATGGATTCTGTTTGGTTCAACTTAGCCCATATTTACATTTGGGTACACAAACAGTACTACCACTTTTAAGTCTTAAACTTTTATGAATGTCCAATATTTGGTTTTCGTTGTGAATATTGTAACAAACTATGCAGACTTGAAAGATCACATTAAAAGGTTGAACGAGCTGTGCTTTTGCTTTTTATCTTAATTTCTATATTAGTTTTTTTATATGTGCCATAACTCATTGAATTTTTTCAGACATGCAGCTTAGAGGTGTGGATTGATTGTTTGAAATTCTTTAAAGGATTTAAGAATAGAAATCTTGACTTTCTTAGGGCTTTCATTCACAGCTGGAATTCAGAACAGTATTTGCTATGCTTATACATGTTGTTGCGATCTGATTGCTTTTGCACGTTGGTTACTTTTTTTCTTCAATGGTTCTATATATGGTTTTATGATTTTTTCTTGATTTTTGAATTTCTGAGATCTTTTTAACTGGACTTCCAATTTCTTATTTGAGTACTCCCCAGATCCTCCAGATCATAAATACAGTTTGTGTTTTTTTCTGGTTTATATGAATTGAAGGAGTTTTATATAGTTTTGCATTTCAGATATCCTATTTTGCTTTTCTCAAATGCATACATTGCTCAGTACAGTGCGTCTTACAACAACTGTCTGTAACTCAACACCATTTTGCCCATCATGCCATTCTCTTCTAACATTAACCATTCATAGGAGCAACTTCGTATTACAACCAAGGTATTTTCTCTGGGATTTTGGGAGATCTTCTAGGAGGTTTTCAAGATGAGTTATTGGGTCAGTTGGTCTAATGGAACTGTTGTTATTCTTCATATGATTTCAAAGTCCTTTTCTTGCATGTTCTAAAGTACCCTGAGATTCTGAAGTTATAATTGAAATCATACACTCTGAAGATGTTTGAATGAAATCAGTTGGTCATGATAAGATCTACACGGTCCATAAGTTTGATTTTTCCCCAAAACCATCAAATAGCATTGAAATACTATCCTTGAGGATGTTGAATACAATTGCAGTGTTGATCCTCAGAAGATCTACCCTTTCTATATGTTTACAGTAGTTCTAGGCTCTAACTCTCAAGGGAGATCATAACGCCCTCATTGAAATAACTCAAATGGAGTTTCAGTAGAGTTTACACATGGAATGAGTGTCTCCTATCAATAGGTAGTTGACAGTGAAGTGATTAACCAATCACATATGTAGCTTATGTGGGGCTAGTTCTAGGATGGATTGTTGGTCTTTAAAAGGGTACATTCAAGGATGTAGTATTTGTATGCTGAGCTAGTCTCTGACTGGGATTAGTTGTAATCTTTTAGATTCTACTTTGATTAATCTCAGAGAGTGATTAGGCATAGAACAGTATAGCAAACACCTGTATGAAATCAATGCTTTGTAATAAATGCAATGAATACAAAAATACAAAGCAATGAAAACAAAAATACAAAGCAGTAAATCATTAAACAGAAACATTTCCAAAATTTTAGTTTATGCACATGTTCCCAATTTATTTTAAGAAAATATGTTCTGTTCTGGTCTGTTACCTTTTACACAATTTGAAGTTCATTTCTGAGCACAAGCTACTTTAGTATATTTATAATGACATATGTGTTAGCCTTTCCAATATTTAGATTTTGCCCCTAAAAGAGGGTTTCATATACCTAATATACTAGGTTCTGACACATTCGGGAAATATTGGTCAGTATAAGAAAAACGAATATGGGCCCTCAAAGGAAATCACCACATTTAATGGTTGTCATAACGATTATAAGAAACATTGATTTTAAGAAGTTGATCTGTTCTGTAATTAGGAAATACACACTTGTATGTCCTATCCTATTATATGTCGCTCATCATTAGTCATTGATATTTATTTGATCATTACCATTTCCTAAAGCTGTCTATATTTTTCCTTGGCAATAAGGGAACTGTTTGCTGTTTTAAAGAACTAAGAGAGCAATGTTTCACTCTGCTAAATGCTGGATAAATCAAGAAGTTTGGCATACTGTAGTCTGCTCAAAGCTTAATTGCTAACATCTGTTGTACATGCTGGCATGGGGCATGATTTATAAACTGGCACCATTCTGGGATTTGTATTCTTGTTCTCTCTATGGCTGTTCTTTCTTACTTTGTCCCTACTTCAGTGGCATGGGGCATGATTTTAAAAACTGGTACCATTCTGGGATTTGTATTCTTGTTCTCTCTATGGCTGTTCTTTTAACGTTGTCCCTACTTCAGTGGCACAGGGCATGATTTATAAACTGGCACCATTCTTTGATTTGTGTTCTCCTAATCTCTATGGCTGTATTTTCTAACTTTGTCTCTACTTAGTGGCATGGGGCATGATTTATAAACTGGCACCATTCTGGGATTTGTATTCTTGTTCTCTCTATGGCTGTCCTTTCTAACTTTGTCCCTACTTCAGTGGCATGGGGCATGATTTAAAAAACTGGCATTATTCTTCGATTTGTGTTCTCCTAATCTCTATGGCTGTATTTTCTAACTTTGTCCCTACTTCAGTGGCATGGGGCGTGATTTATAAACTGGCACCATTCGGGGATTTGTATTCTTGTTCTCTCTATGGCTGTTCTAACTTTGTCCCTACTTCAGTGGCATGGGGCATGATTTATAAACTGGCACCATTCTGGGATTTGTATTCTTGTTCTCTCTATGGCTGTTCTTTCTTACTTTGTCCCTACTTCAGTGGCATGGGGCGTGATTTAAAAAACTGGCATTATTCTTCGATTTGTGTTCTCCTAATCTCTATGGCTGTATTTTCTAACTTTGTCTCTACTTAGTCGCCTGGGGCATGATTTATAAACTGGCACCCCCTGTCTTTTGTTCTGGCCCCATTTGTCCTTACCCCAGTAGCATGAGGCATGATTGCTATACTGGCACCCTGCCCATATTTGGCTGAGTTTCTGTTCCTTTTGTCCCTACTCCAGTGGCAAAAATCCTAAAAAGTGACACAATTTTGAATTGCTATTATATGTAATGTCTGTTGAAACTCTTACCAGTAAGTAAGTTTAATCAGTGTAAACACATCTCAATGTAAACACCTTTTAATATAAACACCTTTCAATGTGAGCACTTGTTCGAGTAGTAGTTCACTATCAGCAGTTTAACTGTATGAGGAAAAACATTTGTGTTTGATAAATCTAAAGTACATGTATATGAATTTGTATCATGTGTTTATTTGTTGTGTTGTTTATTTTCAGAAATTAACAAAGTACGGGTTTCATTATTCCACATAAATGGGGTCAATAAAGATTCACTCACATTGCCACCACCAGAGGGCCCCGTTGTCACAATGTCAGAGAAACTATATGTACCACTTAAAGATCACCCAGATGTAAGTAAAAGTTTTATTTTATTTTCTATTTTACGTGAAAGATCGTGGATTCAGCTTAAAAATGGGATAAGTACTTGAAAATTGAGTATCTATTAAAAAAATTGGAAGTTTCTCTGAAAATCAAGCTTTCCATGAAATATCAAAAAACATTATGATAAATCTAAAATGTTGGGTGTTCTCTTGGGGTGAATTCTTAGGAAATGCCTGTCTTTGGCATTTTTATTAATGGCCCTGTGTTAACTGTTCTAAATCTCAAATAAATCTATTAACAGAGCTCTAAAGCATGAAAAACTACTGAGTTACTGCTGAAAAGGTGCCCAGTTTAATTTCCTTTGCCTTTAACTTTAAAAATATCTACACAAATCAGGAATATTCCATCTGTTTTTGAGCAGTCTAACCTTGTGAAGTGAACCATACAATGAAGTGCTCTAAATAGTGCTGTTTATTCTAGTGACAAAAAACATTGCTATATTGAAAAAACTGCAGGAGTTTGGCTTGCGTGTAGATGTACTCATGTAGTCTGATGGCTTAAGGCTATGTGTAATGTACATTGAAGATACAACCTTTACAAATGTAATATATCATTGGCATGTACCTGTATCATCAATATGTAGTACCATATATAATATTTTACATCTCTGGGTATATCCGAGACGGTCATCAGTACCTCTGTTTATATAGTAAAGGTGGACAGTAACTGTCTAGGTCAATATTTGAAATTGTTCACCTTTAATAAATGAAGCATAACAGATATCAAGCAGTCTTCATAAATGGACAGTGTCTAGGTCAATATTTGAAATTGTTCACCTTTGATAAATGAACCATAACAGATATCAAGCAGTCTTCATAAATGGAGAGTGTCTAGGTCAATATTTGAAATTGTTCACCTTTAATAAATGAACCATAACAGATATCAAGCAGTCTTCATAAATGGACATTGTCTAGGTCAATATTTGATATTGTTCACCTTTAATAAATGAACCACAATGGAAATCAAGTACAATCTTCATAATTCTATAGGTTACCAGTGAAGCAGTCAGATCTGACTATTATTGAAAACAATTGTGGTTTTTCTGATTTAACTTGTTTGTAGGTAGAGCATTGTCCTGCTGGTTTTTGACAGAAATGCAGTCATGACTAGAATATTAAGTACCACATGTTCTTTTCAGAAATTTAATCCTATTTTTCTAAAACAATTATAAAACCTCAAATGTGTGAAGTTCAATATATACTGTTCATCAACTTCCTATACTAGTAGAAAATGTCTGTCCCTGTTCATTTTTCATATTAAGGGAAGCCAGAATATGGTCTGCTTTGATAGGGCATTAGGAAAGAGCATTTTAATCTAGCATTCAAAAATGACATATTTTTTCAAAAGATTGAGGTCAAAATTGTATTGTAGAAAATGTTGTTTATTTAAGGCATTAGTGTTTACTGGTTCAATTCATTTTCCATCTTATGCATTGAATATTTGAACTGAAGATTGTCTGGCTATTTTGCTTATTACATACACTCCCCTCCATAAGTTTGGCAATTGGAAGTTTACCAATGGATCATTTATCAAATCATATTTATCTTCGGATATTCATCAAAATTATCATATCCCAAATCATTGTAATGATGGAAGGAAATTAGATTCAAATATTGATTTTTTGATATGGTATCCAATGAAATAATACAGTTGCCAAACTTATGTAGGAGAGTGTATTGTCAAACTTATGGAGGGGAGTGTATTGTCAAACTTATGGAGGGGAGTGTATTGTCAAACTTATGGAGGGGAGTGTATTGTCAAACTTATGGAGGGGAGTGTATTGTCAAACTTATGGAGGGGAGTGTATTGTCAAACTTATGGAGGGGAGTATATTGCCAAACTTATGGAGGGGAGTGTATTGCCAAACTTATGAAGGGGAGTGTATGTTATAAGGTACATACCTGAGCACAATCTGCTTCAAAAACAATCCTTGTATGTGAAGCCAAGTATGAACGAATGCTAGGATTATAAGGTTTTTGGATTAAGTTCAATCTCATGTTAAAATGTTGGCAGAAGAAGCCTGCTTAGTTCTGGATTTCAAGGGCTGAGCTGCAGGTAAAACCAGGTGTTTATAAATGGCATTCATTACCCATGTGGCTTTTGGTACACCATGTGACCGGATTTGACCAATCAGAACAGTGGATTTACAATGGTTGATTTGCATTTCTATGGATATGCTGGGTTTGTGTCGGGAAAAATGTTAATCTAAAATAAGTAATGCTTTATAAATATCTGATTTGCAATCTTTTCTCTTGCATAATAATAATGTCAAAAATGATAAGTTCACGCATCTGCATGGAAAGTTCAATATTTTTGCAAGGTGTTTCAAAATCTAGGTCATTATTCAAAATGTACTTTTAACATACATAATTAAAATTAAAGTACATGTTTAGTAGAACATGTGTAAGTGTGACACCTTTGGTACTGAAAATGGTGTTCAACTTGAGAGGTGTTTAACTTGAGAGGTGTTTAACTTGAGAGGTGTTTTTCTTGAAAGGTGTTCTGTATATAGAGGGTTCACTGTAATAGGTAATGGGTAAGGGACTTTGGAAAGTGTTTCAATCTTGAAAATTTTCCACTTAGAGAGGTGTTCCACTTTATAGAAGTGTCCTACTTAGAGAGGTTTTTTATACTTGATAGACCTGTTTCACTTACAGAGGTGCTCCACTTTATAGATAGAAGTGTTTCTCACTTAAAGATGTGCTCCACTTTATAGAAGTGTTTCACTTACAGAGTTCCTCCACTTTATAGAAGTGTTTCACTTACAGAGGTGCTCCACTTTTTAGAACTGTTCCACTTTACGGAGGTATTCCACACTCATGCTCCCACTTGACAGGTTTTACTGTAGACATGATATTTGATAGGGGAATGTGAAACCTGGTCTCAAATAGTCTCCTCTGTGAACTTATAACTTGATCAAAGCTCTCATTTGCATAGAGTGAACAAGACAATGTAGTGTCAATGTCAGTCTATGAAAATATTCCGGTTACATCAAAAAGCTTTTTTCATACAAGCCCTGCATATAAAGCAGTAATCTCCACAAGATTTTTTCTCAAGTGATTGCAAAATTCTCATTTTCACAATTCAGACCAAAATTGGTCAAAATATGCCCATTTTCATGATTTTTCTCATTTTCAAGTGGGTGCAAATGGATTATCAGGTGGGTGCAAGCCTATTTTCAAAATTCAGGTGGGTGCTGCACCCACTTGCTTTAATGCAGAGGAGATCACTGTAAAGTGTGTTCACCAAGTTGATATGTTGGGCAGTGTCAGTTTCGATCAATTTACTTTTTCCTGGAAATATTATTTGATGATCAAAGACATAAGTTATTTTTCTTACACTAAATCACAAAACATCAACAGATTTTATTTTAATATCTGGTGAAAATGCTAATAGTTTTTTCTTGTAACAGGCGGTACTTACAGTGATATCCGAGATTAAAAATAACAATAGAATGAAAATAATCTCAGACAATCCATATAAATTGATTGACCCCTTAAGCATTAATGCTACATCATTCGAAACTAATTTGTGCGAAAAATCTATGACTTCGTCTGACTTAACTATAGTTAGGCACATAAATCTGTTTAATTAGATATTGTTTTTTTATTGAAACAAGTAAGGATAGAAGTGTACGTGCTTTAAGTAAACAATTGGTTGGATTTGGCACTTTTATTATGGGATAATTTTGTTGAATTGATACATATACGAAATAGGACCAGGGGTTTCACTAGAATTTCTCACAACAGGCTTAATAATTGAAAACAACAGACAAAATTAATGGAAATTAAATTTACCATGGAAAAGTTGAAAAGTCCTTAAAAACAACAGGCGATTTTGTGAAAACAACCAGTGAAAATCACCTAATGCCTGCTGCTCATGAAACCTCTGTAGGACTATTCCAGTTTGGTTCAAGATATCTGGACATGAGCAACTTATGAGGTTTCATACCCAGAATCAAGATAAGCTGAAAGAATAATTTTGCTACAAAGTTTTTCTTATGTACCATCCTTATCCCGTTCTTGAATCTAGATGTTGATCAGTTTATCTCTTGTTATAGCCATTGTTTCTTCCCTTCTTACGATCCATCCCCCAACTGTTGTATGTACAGAACTAATGAAATAATTATGTTAATCTATTTCCTAGATAAATCTGTTATTTTGCCATCTTGTCAGCTTCAGTTCTATTTTCGTCCGCTTTCCAACTGTTCCTCGCTTTCAAATGTCTGAACGCTCTGTTCTATACAAATTGACAACACATGGTTCTTATTCCGTTTACTTTCTATGCTTCCTAATGGCTTAATGGAAGATTTACTAGCCAATCAAGTAGTTTCCTCAGGTACAAAACCATCAGTTTAACACCAATCTTAAGCTGTGATTCATATGGTATCTATGTTTTTCTCCTTTATTCATTGTGTTCAACCAAATCATTTCTCAACTCTTGCTTAGATTGTTTAAAGTCATTTCGGTTTTCTGGTGATTGTTACCATTTGGTCAACAATATTCTCTGGAGGTGTTCTGAGTTGAAGGTTTCTAATTTGGACTTTGTTTTCTGGTGAAAAAGATACTCTGAAGGCTAGGTTACATTGAATAAGTTATTTCATCATGTTCCCTTCTAACAAATACTACCTTGTAATACACTTTGAAATGCCATAAATGTTTCATATACAGTAAAACATTTATAAGTGGAACACCTTTAGAACCTCAAGAAAGTGTTTCGATTGTGGATGTGCTTCACTTACAGAGGTGTTCCACTTTACAAGTTTCACTGTACTTGTATTTTTATAAATCATCTCACATTGTCATCTTACTAATGTTCTTCACACTTAGGGTGGAGAAGTGGAAGTCTAGTAACAATTTGACCATCCAAGTGCCTACTATATTTAGAGTCAATATTCACACTTGGGGTTTGTTCAAATATAACATTTGGATCCATTTCTTCAATACCTTTGTAGACTTAAAACCAAAATATTAGCTCAGTTATAGATTGTATACTTTAATTTTAACAGTGTTGAGCCTCTCCCCCTCCACTTTCAGGACTTGTGCTCAGAATGATACATATTTGTTTTTATTAAGACTCTCAAAAACTCAAAAATATTGACTTGGAACTACTTCCAAGAATTTTTAATTTTTAATTTTTGGTTTGAAATTGGGATAGTTGACCATACAGAGATGTTTAAGGTGTTTCTTTTTTATAAGGGTTAGTGTAGTGCTTCCAGGTGTTCATTTGTTTGTTCTTTTCCTTTAATGCCATTTTGGTCACTTTGTTCTCTTTCATCAGCATCAGTGTTATCCTGATTGATCATAACATTATGTGGTCATTCTTTAAATCAGCATCAGTGTTATCCTGAAACAAATCCACACTTCAATTTTATGCATTACTTTTCTCTATGGCTATGCATTTATGAAATGTAGTCTAACAAATCAACAAACGGAGCAAAGATCAAATACTCGATTGTCACAAGGGACTCATAGATCAACTTACGACTCAATATAGGCTTCAGTTTAATGTGTTTGTACCTTTCGAGATTATTAAAGTTTGTCAAAGAGGCTATCAATCTATTTCATACTGGTCATGCAAATCAAGACAGACTCGTATCGCATAAAATATCATGTATTTGCACTGTCAAAATGTTCCATATTTATTCTGTTTGATGAATATATGTTGGTTTTTGACATAGAATATGTCATTTGGAGATTTCTAAATTAGGTTTATTGTTCTGAATTTTTTTGTGAATAAAATGAGTACTTATTTATTGTACAGTGTACATGTATCAAATATAAGCTATAAATTAGCTAGAAATATAAATGCCAAAAATTAAAAAAAAGCTGTAGGCCCAGTGGAAGAATATCGACATCACTAACAGCAAACTGTTCATTATACATGAAGATCATTATCTAATGTCGTTTATTTTCTGTATTTTCAGTTTAATTTCGTGGGTCGAATATTAGGTCCACGAGGGATGACCGCAAAGCAGCTAGAACAAGACACAGGATGTAAAATCATGGTACGAGGCAAAGGATCAATGAGGGACAAAAAGAAGGTGAGCTTAAGATTCTATTGTTTATTTGTTTATTTTGTTTATTTTTGGTTTATAAGAACATGTGAACATTGCTTTACACCAAGTGGACTTCCTTTTACACCCTTTTTATTAGATATGGTAGTTACGAAAAAGTGTTGGGGATATTCTGTCAAGTTATGAGGATTCTGAAACTCACCATATTTTTTTTCTAGTTCTCATGGCTGAAATGAAATGTGATGACATGATTGTATGCAAAATAAGAATGTTAGAATTGCAGGTTTTCACATTAGGTTTCTTAATATGTGCATCAATGTGAAAAAGTGTTCACATTAGTGATTCAATCAGATGTATATAGGTTTTACTGTAGTGGGGGTGGCAGGGAGTTAATTTAAGACTTTTGGCAAATCAACAGAACCTGCTTTAGCTCATTTAACACTCTGAGGTTATCTAATTTAATTGCTAGCAGGGTAGCAATTGTTTATTGTCAAGTAGGGCAATGACACAGTGTGTATGTTGGATGACACGTGTTCAACCTATTTGACACATGTTCAACATGTAAGACACTTGTTCAACTTGAAAGACACATGTTCAACTTGTAAGACACATGTTCAATACTGGAGATCTTGCAGAGGTGTATATGTTTCATTCTGTGAGAACACTTCTTTATTAACAAAAACACCCCAGAATTTTTATTTTTTCATAATCTGAATATGAAATAAGTTCAAATCCCTACAATCATAAAAACATTTTAAGCCAATATACAATTATGATGAAAAACTAAGTCATCTGTTCATTTAGGTTCTAGAACTAGAGGCTATATATCTAAAAATTAACTCCAAACTATCATAACTTGAATGATTGCCAATCGAAGTATATTGCTATAGTTTAATAGTGAAATATCTTCTTAACGGCTATGGCGTAATGTCATACACTTTCCGCATGCTAAACACAAGTAAAAGAGATTTCCGGATTATGAGTTGGATGTTTTTTTCTGATTTATAATCTTTGATCTTTGATTTATGTTGGAGATTCGCATTTAGATTCGTATGATGGCATTTAAACAGAATGACTTCTTTGTCGGATTTATCACTGTTTTTCCATAAATGTTGATGTATATATAAATTAGATGTTTCTACTAGGGGATGCCTAGACACCTTATAAGGATATCGACTTCACTCGTTTATAAAACGAGCCACTGGGCCGTATGACAGATATGAATTATACGGCACATAGTTAAAAATTGATAATTATTTTTGCATTACCCAGTTTCTTGCCTGTGATCAGTCACGCTTTAATGAGGGAAATCACCATTTTATAAAGTACTCCTAAAAGGAAACATTTGGAACATTTCAAAGTATATATGGGACATTGGGAATATTGAAAATCCAATATACAGTAAAACCTGTGTTTCTGGAACACTCATTGTTCTGGAACACTCACTGTTCTGGAACAGGTCGTCCTTTCAGAATGGTTTCGTTAACTTAATTGTAAGCTAATAGGACTTGATTCATTTGAAAAAGTGTCATAGAGAAGTGTTCATTATAGAGATTTGTTTCTTATAGAGAAGTGTTCCTTATAGAGAAGTGTTCCTTATAGATTGTGTTTCTTATAGAGAAGTGTTCCTTATACAGATGTTTTCACCCCAAGAGAGGATTTCAATACCGTGTTATATCAATGGGACTTGGTTCTTTTGAAAACAGTTCTATAAAGAGAGGTCTTCATACAGAGAGGGATTCCCAAAGGTTCTTACAGAGAGTGTTCCTTACAGAGAGGGTTCCTTACAGAGTTATTCTATCGGACACATTTTACTGTACATTCCATCAGGATCCATATCATATCATCCACTATTAAGATCACATTGATATTGACACTTCCATTTGGTTTGGATTACAATCCACAAGTTTTTATATGGACTTTATTGACCAAGGATAAGGCACTAATCTTTGCAGAAAATATGAGGCAACGAATCAGCATAAAGAGTCCTGTTTATTTAGGCTCGTTGTAGATGGAACTATCAGGAAGAGTCTATGCCGGGAGGAGGGGGTAGATAATTTTGTTCAGGAACATTTATTGACTCAAAAACGAATATTAAAAACCAAGCGGTTTTTATGTAGGGCTATCTTAAGTTTTTGGATGAAGATTTGAGAGAAAATTGATGGCTACTTGTGTTTGAACTGGAGACTGTTTTTGCCACATGTCGTCCTTATTTGGCTCATCTGTTGTAATTTGAGACTCAACGGTGACATAAAATGCTTTGCCAAGTTATCCATTTTAATGTTATTTTAAATTCAAATAAAGTATAAAACTTTATACAGGCAAATTAATATGATTAGTTCAGGATTTTGACCAAACCTTATGTATATGTCACCATGGTGTCCTATATCTTATGGACTAGCTCTCTAGGTGTCTTGGCAACTTGGTAGGAAACCAATTATGACAAAGCCCCTTGGACGCTTGTTTGACTACATGTAGATATTCATATTTTTTTGCATGTTGGGATAGATGTACTCATTTGGCTCATCTTTGTTCATGCCATGCATCCCCACCCACCATCCCCCCTCCCCCTTCTCAACTTCTAGAATACCAATTACAAGAATGCCTTGTAGACACATGTTTGAACACACATGGATATTCATTTTAGCATATACTGAAAATTTGTTTTTGAAAGCCTTTTCCAAATTGTTGGCCCCTTTTGGATCTTGAGCATGGATCAATTTAACTATATCATATCACAATGAAATGTGCAGTGAATCCAGTCTATTTGCTTAAGATAATGCATTGATGTATGAAATATTAAAGGCAGCATGGCTTTTAGGTAATCAATGCTTTTGTGTCGGGAGTTACTCCTACAAGCTGTTTATTGGCTTTTTCATATCGCTCGCGGCTTTACAGTGTGACATACAATTGTGTTACTGTTTGTATAGAATCCGTATCATTAGCTCATTTTGCATTGGTTGGTTATATTCCCTTTGCGATGTCGCATTCAATTACCATAGATGCGACCGCTAAATTAAATCATCAGCGTTCGTTATAACAGTTGATGGTCACTTAGTGACGGACCATTATATTTTTAGTGGGATCTTATCATAAAAAATCTGAATATTTGTATTTTAGTAAAATGGCGATTTTTGCTTTCTTTGGACATTTAGAACGGGTATTGTTCAAAGTTTCTGTCACTGGTATACCAAGATTAGTATTTGGCCTTATATGTATTGATTTTCAATTCTAATAACATACCCACGGAGGTATAATCACCGTGTCTAAACAAAAGGGCTTATTAATAGTTCCAGTGGCTCTTATAGACTATTGAGGAAGGTAGAAAGTATTTCGAGTATTTTGTAAGCGGGGAGAAAGTATTGAATAAGTTTTAGTGAAGTAGAAGTTGTAATTCCTGTAAATAAACAGTCGGTTATATGCCATAATTAATAATTGAATCCGGGGCTTAATTGGAATACCTGACAACAGGAAAATGAATGAAAACTCAAGCATAATTAGATTAGCAAGGAAAAAGTTGTGATACAAAATATGGGGCTCTGTTATTTCTAGTATTGCATAAAAAAGTCTCAGTGTTGCATTATTGATGCATCGAGGGCAGAGGGTCTTGAATAATTGTATCGACTCTGCCAGAGTCCATAAACGCGACTTGCCATAGTCCGTTTGAGGTTGCTATAGCAAGCCTTTTTAAAATGAATTTTAGATTTCATAATCGAGTAACTCTAGTTTTTTGCGACTTGCATCGTATCAACTGGGTGATTCACCCTGTTGAGGATTCAAAATTTACATGCCACCCATTTGAAAACCTCTGAATATCACTTAGACGTGATATTGAATTTTTCAAGCAAAAAAGAAGCACATATATACATGTGAACAATGCTGAAGTAGCTCCCAGTACAAAAATGACTGATCATAGAAATAATGAATATGATTCCATCGTTAGATTCTTCAAAACTTGTAATATCAAACGTCAATATAATTCAACCCTTTAATATTATGGTATGAATTTATGGCTCCCTCATGAATGGGCTAATAGCAGAAGATGTGTAAAATAATGTTTCATCCGAGCTAGGGGTTAATCCTGCAGTAAGCAACATTTTCTCTTCAAATTGATTCTTATACGAAGAATACGATTCATTCTTGATATTCGGAGTATAGGGGGAGGGTGGGGAAGGGCTTACGTGAACATTTATCACAACAGGCAAAGCATTAAAACAATGGGCAAATTTGTAACTGATAATTTTAACATGGAAACAGTTGAAAAGTTTCTAGAAACATCTGAATCAGAATTGGCAAGCTAGAGTTAAGGACTTGGAATGAATCTAAGCTCTTGAAAAAACTTGAAAAGAATAACATTATATTCACATATCTGCATGACTGTGTAAAGAATGAGGATTTTTCACCAATTCTAAAAGATACTTGAAAGAACTTTCTTATTGATGTCTTGCAGTAGGAGTTGATAGGATTGTTAATGATGCGATTTATCATAATATTCTATTCCCTGAGCTGATTTTTTGATGTTTCCCCAGATTACATACTAGAGCTCAATTTGGTCGTTACACGTTTCTGTCACCTTCATTTACGAGAGACATTCGTGCTCTAAACAGTACAACTTGTACTGTTTGTGAATTAGAAAAGTCATATCCTAGCATTTTGCTTTGCTACTCTATGGTCTGTTTGGGATAGAGCCACTGGGTGCAAAAATTGTATGCTGCCCTTTGGTGATTCTGTTTGCATCCAGTTGAAAGGCCTTTCCACCATTGGAAAGTACTGAATGGTCCTGTTTTTCTGGCTTATATACAGGACTACATGAGAACAGTAGTAAGTTTAGCTCATCTTAAGCCACAAACAAACAAACAAACAAACAAACAATAGTATAATTGCCTACAGAAGGAACTATCTGAAGAAATCCCTATTTAATGGCCTAATTTTTCTTATAGTACACTTTGAGTAAATTCTACAGAATTAGAAACCTACATATCTTTGCAATATGAGCTTTTAGAGTTGATAAGAATTTGGCTATCTCA